AAGGGAGAATGGGTATTGGGCCAATAACCATAAAGTGTACCAAAACCATCATTGAATTAGTCCTTTCTAGAAAGATGTTCGTGTTCTGTTCTTCAGTGTATTCTAGAGTCCCTGTAACTTGGCAAATACTGAATGCGTGCTTTTTGTAAGCCGGGCACAGTCATCTCTGCTACCAAGGTGATCACAGTCTATAGAAAGAGAAATACACACCTAGCTCTGATAAAGTTTCATAAGCACTACACTTATTATCCTAGAAAAAGGTCACTGGAAACATGGTAAAATAAATTTTAAATCCACCCTAGGCAATACAGGTAACTCACATCACATCATACTGCTATGGGAAGGAATCTGATGATTAGAGTTTCAAGGAAACTAGGTTTAAGGAAGGTATCAGTTCAGTTCGGTCGCTCAGTCGTGTCCAACTCTTTGTGACCCCGTGGACTGCAGCACGCCAGGCTTCCCTGTCCATCACCAGCTCCTGCAGCTTGCTCAAACTCTTGTCCATTGAGTTGGTGATGCCATCCAACCATCTCGTCCTCCATCGTCCCCTTCTCCTCCCACCTTCAATCTTTCCCAGCATCAGGGTCTTTTCCAATGAGTCAGTTCTTCACATCAGGTGGCCAAAGTACTGGAGTTTCAGCTTTAGCATCAGTCCTTCCAGTGAATATTCAGGACTGATTTCCTTTAGGATGGACTGGTTGGATCTCCTTGCAGTCCAAGGGACTCTCAAGAGTCTTCTCCAACACCACAGTTCAAGAGCATCAGTTCTTCGGCACTCAACTTTCTTTATAGTCCAACTCTCACATCCATACATGACTACTGGAAAAATCATAGCTTTGACCAGATGAAAGAAAAGCAAAAAGTTGGAATTATGACAATTTTTTTTTTTTAGTGAGTTACTTTATTTTGCTTTTGATCCACCCAGGTTTTATTTACTTTCTTTTTGGTCCCGAATTCTCCCTTGTTATAGATAGTTGTTTATAGATGTTATCTCCTGGCTTAAGTCTTCTTTCATCCCCAGCCAGCCGCTCTCTCTTCTCCTCCCCACCACTGTGGCCAAGAATTTATGGTGAGAGATTTACTGATTAGGCGCTTCCTCACTATCTCCAGGCTTCCCAGGTGGCGCTAGTGGTAAAGAATCCGCTACTCAATGCAGGAGACATAATAGATGCTGGTTCAGTCCCTGGGTCGGGAAGATCCCCTGGAGGAGGGCATGGCAACCCACTCTAGGATTCTTGCCTGGAGAATCCCAAGGACAGAGGAGCCTGGTGGACTGCAGTCCATTGGGTCGCACAGGATCGGATATGACTGAAGCAGCTAAGAGCATGCACACACACACACACACTATCTATACCTCCAGCAAGTTCAGAAAAGGAACACTGGTCTGCTAGAATTAGAAGATTCCTTTTCAGCCCCTGAAATTGACCAAGAAACTCCCACCCACTCTGATATCTGTGACTGTTCATTTGCCTCCAGGCTAAGACGACAGGACTAGAAGGATCCATAATTAGTGATTTTGTTATATTTTAAGCTTCCTGGATATAAAATTCCCATTAAAATATATAAGCCTGGTGTTCAACTTTCAGACATTGAACTTTCAAATGGTTTTTAGGATTCTAGAAGCCCCCAGATCACTGCTTCTAGGTGGGACCTGAAAAGGGGTGTTGGCATGGACCCCTTGTCACTGGTGATCTGGTGACCTCTCAGGCATCACTGAGTCCCACTCACCCTGCAGCTTATTTCTTTTTGTTTCATGGAGACCATAATAGGTTTAGATGAAGTTCTTGTTTTGAGGATGTGCACACTCTTAGGTAAAGAGTGTGGCCTCTGTGAGTAATAAGCTTCTCTAACTGAGCAAGTTATATAGAGCTGTCAGTTCAGTTCAGTTCAGTTGCCGAGTTCTTTTGCGACCTCATGGACTGCAGCACACCAGGCTTCCCTCTCCATCATCAACTCCCAAAGCTTGCTCAAACTCATGTCCATCGAGTCGATGATGCCATCCAACTGTCTCATCCTCTGTCGTCCCCTTTGCCTCCTGCCTGCAGTCTTTTCCAGCATCAGGGTCTTTTCCAATGAGTCAGTTCTTTGCATCAGGTGACCAAAGTATTGGAGTTTCAGCTTCAGCATCAGTCCTTCTAATGAATATTCAGGACTGATCTCCTTTAGGATGGACTGGTGGGATCCCCTTGCAGTCCAAGGGACTCTCAAGAGTCTTCTCCAACACCACAGTTCAAGAGCATCAGTTCTTCGGCACTCAGCTTTCTTTATAGTCCATCTCTCACATCCATACATGACCGCTGGAAAAACAGTAACTTTGACTAGATGAACCTTTGTTGGCTTGCGCAGTTATAAAGAGCTTGTATGTAAACCTGTTCAGTTATATAGAGCTGTAGGACCCCTGTTAACCTCAGAGTTGCTGATATTGACCCTTGAGTCACTGAGCTCTTTATGGATGGTATGAGTTAAAGTAATTTCTGCTGCATTTGAGTATTAAAAATCATGAAGAGTCCAAAGGATTGCTTCCAAATGAGAATTCCATTTCCATAGTTGCAAAATGTGAAAAATGCCCTATATTCTTTATCTAGGCAGAAATGTGTTTTTGCCTTATATTGAACTCTTTTTCTGCTGTTTCATATAGGCCACGCACATGTTTCTTTCTTAAAATTGTTAACCATTGGTTGGGGACCTCCCTTCCTGGACCAGGGATTGAACCCATGTCCCCTGCATTGGCAGGCAGATTCTCATCCACTGGACTACTAGGAAAGTTCCTCATTCAGCTTTAAGAAACGTAAAAGACATTCTCACCAAGAACTTTATTTAACAACATAGTCACTAATTGAATGAGCTTTCTGGCTAACCCAATAATTATGCAAGGACCTTATTTGCAAAAGAGGACATACCCGAGGCTCTGGTGGACATGAATTGGATGGTGGGGGGCACTGTATAACCCAAGACAGTGGCTTTTTGTGTTTGGCTTCTTTCTCTTATCATTTTCAAAGTTCTTCATGTTATCACACATGTCAGAACTTCATTCCTCTCATATGGCTGAATGCTACTCCACTGCAAGGACATATTCCATTTTTTTCTTCCCTTCATTATTCAGTGGACATTTGAGCTGCTTCCACACTTTTGGCTGTTGTGACTATCGCTGCTATGAAATTCTTATGCAAGTTTTCGTATGGGCATACGTTTTCGTTTCTCTTGCGGTGGATTTGTTTAACTTTTTGTAAATTATGATGTACATCTTTATGTCACTTGGCAGTAATGGCTGTTAGTTATTAAAATTCTGGCTCATTTTCTGCCTCTTGGCATTGCTTTGTATTTCAGTGACTTCTCCAGTGACTCACCTTTGGAGAATTGTATTTTGTGGGAAATAACGATTTTACTCCTTTCAGCTTATTTAATGGAAATCTACTGTTAACGTTAGGAAGAAAGCTATATTGTCTTTCACTTCTAACCTCTAGTCCCTTCCTGGTTTTTATAAATAAGTAGTAACATTTAATTTTTTCATCATTTACAACGCCTTTTGTCTTTGTGGTATCATGTTACCTTCCTAGCAGTCCTGAGAGATGTCCTGAGACTGATCTTTTCTGGCTACTAAACTTGGAATCCAGTTGCTTGCTTTTAAAAGAACAGTTGGTACTTAACTATGATATGAGGCTGTCCTTCATTCTTCAACACCACAGATCTGTTGTTTCTATGGTGATCTTTTTTCCAAGTACAGAGAATATGTATTCACCACCAGTGGAGGTTCCCAGGGGGTGCAGGTGGTAGAGAGCCCACCTGCCAGTGCAGGAGACATGAGAGATGTGGGTTTGAGCCCTGGGTCAGGAAGATCCCCTAGAGGAGAGCAGAGCCACCCGCTCCAGTATTCTTGCCTAGAGAATCCCATGGACAGAGGAGCATGTTGGGCTACAGTCCATGGGGTCACAGAGAGTTGGACACAACTGAGTAACTCACACTTTCACTTCCACCAGGGGAAGCTCATTAGCCTAGACCAGTGGTTCTCAGACTCTTCTTGTGTTAGAATCTTCTGGAAGGCTTGCTGAAGCTCAGCTTCTTGACTCAGTAGGTCTGCATGGGTCCAGAGATAGTGCATTTCTAACAAGGTCTCAGGTCATGTTGATGCTGCTGGTCCCAGCACCATTTTGAGACTCAAAGGCCTGGCACCTGAATGTACGTATCACTTTGGGTGTTGTTCAGCCAGTGCTTCTCAAAATGTAATGTGCATGTGAATCACCTGGAGATACCTTTAACTGGTTCTGACTCAGTAGGCCTGGGAAGGCTTCCAGGATTCTGTTTGGGTGGTTCTTTCCCTGGTAGCTCAGACGGTAAAGCGTCTGCCTACAATGCAGGAGACCTGGGTTCAATCCCTGGGTCGGGAAGATCCCCTGGAGGAGGAAATGGCAACCTACTCCAGTATTCTTGTCTGGAAAATCCCATGGACTGAGGATCCTGGTAGGCTACAGTCCATGGGGTCGCAAAGAGTTGGACACGACTGAGCGACTTCACTTCACTTCATGGTGACTCGGCATTGAAAAAACCTTGCCAGCTTTAAGCAGATTAACAGGATATACCTTGTAACCTGTGGTGGTAGTATGCTTTACAAGTTACATGGTTACTCCTAGAAAATCAGAGGCCAGAGTAGTCCTGGTTAGACTCAAAGAGCAGATGGTTGAGACTTTAAATGTAATATTCAGAGTAAATTATAATTCTCTCGAGGAATCTTTTAATTGTATGTTTCCAGGTTCTGAAATGTTTCACAGCTCCTGTCTCTTGAACAAAATAGATTCTACAGGGATTCTAAATTCATTCTTTTAAACTAAGGGAGTTACTTTTTGTTTTTCATTTTCTCAACTTCTCCAAGAATGTAGACTTGATGAGATCAACTTTAGGGACTTAACTGTTTTGCATAATTTTATACTTAGTACCTGGAAGAATTATTATATAAACAAAATAAATTCTCCATAAAACTAATTTTTTTCTTTTTCTCTTGGCAGATCACTTACAACCTTGGGGTTGGTTATCTCATCGCTGGCTGACCAGGCAGCTGGCAAGGGTAAAAACAAATTTGTGCCTTATCGCGACTCAGTCCTCACTTGGCTGCTTAAGGTAATTCATTGCTCTCGTGTTCTTTTCCAACTAGAAATTGGCTGTTTCAGTGGTGACAGCTGAGAGATGTGTGCAAAGCTAACCAAAGACAGCATAGCGAACTTCTGACAGTAGTGTTACTATGATTCCTAAACACGCAAGGATGAAGACTCATTCCTGTTGCCATTTTTCCATTATAATGCTGTTCCACAGGCATTGTGCTTTGATGTGAATGGAGAGAGATCACTGTTCCTCTTGTCACAAATTTTTTTGTGAAATGCAAGCCCATTTCCACATCAGGTTCTCTTCACAGAGAAGGTCATCCGTGCACATTTGCCACTTCCCTGTTACGTTGTGCCTGGAACAGGCTCTGTTTCCTAAGATGCTGTTTGAAATACATTGCAGGACAATCTGGGGGGCAATAGCCAGACCTCCATGATCGCCACCATCAGCCCAGCAGCAGACAACTACGAAGAGACCCTCTCCACGCTGAGATACGCAGATCGGGCCAAAAGGATCGTTAACCATGCCGTCGTGAATGAGGATCCCAACGCGAAGGTCATCCGGGAACTGCGGGAGGAGGTGGAGAAGCTGAGGGAGCAGCTCTCGCAGGCTGAGGTACGGTGAGCCTGGCGCGCCCTGTGATCCGGGCTCCCTGGCTCCTGGTGTCTGAGGGTCAAAGATGAGCTCACTGGCAGCTCAGCTCACCTAATATGGTTCAGCAGTGCTGAGCTGATGAGCATCTTCTCCGTGCTAAACACCAGGAGGACAGCAAGCATGAAATGCAAGGCTGCATCCCAGGCACTGACCGTCAAGGAAGCAGACAGTTAAGAGAGTTGCTGCCGCTGCCTAACTGTTTGCTCCAGGCAGTCAGTTGGCCCTTGAGCCAAGATCTCTTCCAGCGTGAAATCCTAAGACCCCAAAGGTGCTGCTTTGATTAACATTGTAGATGACAACTTCCATGTGGCCTTGCCATTTCCAGAGACGTTAGCTCTATATCATCTCCATATTAAGTCGTGGCAGACAAGGTGGTCAAGAATAATTAGCATTAGGAATAATTCATTTTGTATTTTGTTCATTTGTATCTGCTCCTGACAGGGAGCCAACTCACTTTGCATTGTTACCATCTTTCCTTGGCTTTACCCAGACTTCATAACCATACCTACTTCCCAATAGCTGTTGCCAGGGGAGGCACTGTCTCACTGCACTAGTAACAGCACTGAGATGGGGCCAAGTGCCTCAACTTCAGTTGCATGCTTCTGCCTGCCAGGACTCGGGTGTGTACCTAAGGCTTCTGAGTTCACTTTTCTTCATACAGCTGTCTTCTGACCCCACAAACAAAAGGAGGTAAGGGCTAGGGACCTGAAGATTCTATCTAGTGGTGGTCATGGAGTTGCATTATAACTGTTTGTTTACATGTCTTTCTCCTCTTCTGGGCCACGGGTTCCTCAAGTGCAGGAAGCATGTTTTATTAATTGTGTTTATCCCTAATACAACAGTGATACTGGAAAGCACTTAGCACAATGAGTTGCCCATGGGAAGTGCTCAATGAATGGTGCTCTTTTTTATCATTCCACTCATCATTGAGTGCATCAAGCTTAATTTGTTTTTCACTGATGCCAAGAAGGGTAGCAGAACACCTGGAAAATTAAAATGCTGATAAACTGTGATGAGAGTCATTCCTAGGAGGAGCATGATGACTCTGGAGTTTGTCTGTAGGGGGATCATCTCTGTCCTCCCTCCTGTCTCTGAATCTGCATTTCTGCTGTGACCCTATAATCCAGGCCTGGTAGCCAGGACAACGCCTGGCCACACGGTAGACCAGAGGAACCACAGCAGGTTCACGCTGTAGCTCAGTCATGTCTGACTCTTTGCAACTCCATGGACTGTGGCATGCCAGGCTTCCCTGTCCTTCACTATCTCCTGGAGATTGCTCAAACTCATATCCATTGAGTCAGTGATGCCATCCAACCATCTCATCCTCTGTTGTCCTCGTCTCCTCCTGCCTTCAGTCTTTTCCAGCATCAGGATCTTTTCTAATGAGTTGGCTTTTCGCATCAAGTGGCCAAAGTATTGGAGCTTCAGCTTCAGCATGAGTCCTTCCAATGAATATTCAGGGTTGATTTCCTTTAAATCAACTGGTTTGATCTCCCTGCTGTCCAAGGGACTCTCAAGAGTCTTTTCCAGCACCACAGTTCAAAAGCATCAATTCTTCAGTGCTCAGCCTTCACATAGAATTTTCATGAGTGTCCCCTTGGACCCAGCACTAAATGTCACTCTCAGGTTCTATTAACACAGTGAGACACAGTTAACACATCCTTAGCCAGACCCACATCATCGCCACTTCAGCTTCCAGTCCAAGCTCTGCCATCTTTTTTGTTCATAGGGTTATCCTTATCAGAGCCTCATGTTACTATAGAGTGTCATAAAAGCATAGGGGGGCCAAGGAAAGGCCCCCCAAGATTTCTTAAGCTGCATGTCTATATTTAGACCTCTTAATTACTTTCACTGAGCAATCTCAGAGGGAAATTACTGCCCTTTTAACCAGATGTCCTATTTCCAAGTGAGTAGTAAACATGCTAAGTTTATTACCATCAGTAAGAAAAGTAGTTCAAGTGGCCCAGACTCAACTCTTAAAATAACTGAGAAGAGTCTCTACCTTTCCTGGTAGGTTAATGTAAGTGGGATGTGTTTATTAGTGATGTGTGTTGGTCTTTGTTTTATTGAAAAAGAAATCTACTCAAGTAATTTGTTCTCATACTTTTCTATTTTGAAGGTGAACTTTAGCATCTTTGAGGTCTTTAAATGTGAAATTTAAGTATGATGGATAAAATTACTCTGGGATGATTTATATCAATTTAATTCAGGGCACTGGAATTTCTTTTTTCTCGTTTTAAGAGGAGCAGCCATTTATTATTTCATTTCATTTGATTAATAAAGGTCTAAAAACCCCCCTGACAGTGTGTGGCTTAATTGCTTCCAACAGACAGTTGATAACCTCTTAAGAAGGACAATAAGGGATTGTCTTGTACATAATGGTGGAAAAAATGAGAAAATCCGATATCTCTGCTTTCATTTTAAAGGCTATGAAGGCCCCTGAACTGAAAGAGAAGCTCGAGGAGTCTGAAAAGCTGATAAAAGAACTAACGGTGACTTGGGAAGAGAAGCTCAGGAAAACAGAAGAAATTGCACAGGTAGCTTAATAACCCAGGCCTAAAATATTGTGATTCTTTTTTTTTTTTTTAATTGAAGTACAGTTGACATAGAGTGCTATGCCGTACAGCCAAGTAACTCAGTAGTACACATATACACATTCTTTTTAAAAATACTTTTTTCCATCATGGCTTATCACACAAGATATTGAGTGTCGTTCCCTGTGCTATAGTGATTCTTCTTCATTTGCCATCTTTTCTGTTAAACTATTTGTCATCCTCAAAGAGTCTTAAGGGGATTTCCCTAGTGGTCCATTGAGTAAGACTCCGTGCTCCCAATGCAGGGACATGGATTCAGTTCCTGGTCAGGGAACTAGACCCTGCGTGCTGCAATTGAAAATCCTGCATGCTGTAACTAAGACCCAAGACAGCCAAAAAAAAAAAAAAGCCTTAAGGAGCTTTTTCTGCTGAATTAGAGCCTACAAAAATTCCATTTTTAGACACTGAGTCATTGTCTTGTATCAACTACTGTTTGGTCCCTGTGTTTGCTAGAAGTGTTGGAGAGTTCAGAATTTGTGCAGGCACGGTACAGGAATCATCTTTAATGTGTCCTGCTTTTCACACTTTAAACAAAAATCTGTGATTTCAGATCACCTGACAAAGCACTGGCAGAGAATTTATAATATACAGCACATCATAGGCTTTTCAATGTGTCTGGTTCTTTGGCTCCTTAGAAAATGCTGCCATGATCTTTGAGATAAAAGGCAAGGACCGAGCATGCACACATGTGTGCATGTCTGTGTGTGTGAGATACGAATTCTACACTGTGCATTTCATGACATTTTCATCTCATTGACCACTTGTGAGCATTGGACCACACCAGTCAGGTAGCTGAAAATCAGTAACTGGAACCTAGACCAGCCTTCTGCTTGTATGTTTTTTTGTAGATATCACAAGCACACACCTAACTTTCTATAACTCCTTTCTGTAACTCCTACCTTGCTTTATTTTTCTTCATAACACACATCACCTTAGGAAATTCCGTATTTAACTTGTCTATTTTGTTATGGTCCGTGTCCTTCCACTAGAATATAATTTTTTGTGAAAGAAGTAACTTTGTTTTGTTTGCTCTTGTAACCCCAGCCCGAGGTTAGTACCTAACACAAAAAACATTTCATGAATAACCTGAATGAATTCAAGGCCCTCTGCAAAAAGGAGAGGCCTGCTCTTCCAGCCCCAGCTCCCACTACTTTCCCACATTGACTAGGGATTGTTTACTTTTTTTAACTTTTTATTTTATATTGAAGTATAGCCGATTAACAATGTTGTGACAGCTTCAGGTGCACTTCAGCCATACTTACACATGTATCCATTTTCCCCCAACTCCCCTCCTATCCAGGCTGCCCATAACATTGAGCAGAGCTCCCTGTATTACACTTGGGGTCCTTGGACTAGGGGTTCTTGACACCTGCGTCATCCAATGCATCCTGAGTCCGTAAAACCATACTGCCCTCTGCCCTTACCTTGGCACTCCCCCATTTCTTCCTCTTGAAATTCTTCTTGTGCCTCAAAAACCATCTCAAATGTGTTCTCTTCCCGAAGCCTTTCCTGGACTCTTAACCCATCACAGTCTCCCTCCTTTGAAGCCCCGCTTCAAAGGCTCCTCTTCAGAGGCTCGGGGTCTCCTCTTTCATTTCCAGCCGAGCGGGCTTATCCGCTCCACTGGACTGGAAGCCCCTTATAAAGGCAGGACGGTACCTGGTTTGCCCTCGGTGCTCCTATGACACTGACACAAGATGTCACCTGTGTTAGATGCTCAGAAACTTGGTTGAGCTCAGTAGAATGTCATTTCACTGGCATTGTCCCCAGAGATAGTGACTTAAGCTTTCCATAGGTACATCTCCTGACTCAGGCGACCAACAGAGCTTTCTTACTTTTGTCTGTCTCTGCACAGGAGAGGCAGCGGCAACTTGAAAGCATGGGGATTTCCCTGGAGACTTCTGGAATCAAGGTGGGAGATGACAAGTGCTACTTGGTCAACCTGAACGCAGACCCTGCTCTCAACGAACTTCTGGTTTATTATTTAAAGGTGAGAGAGTAAATTAATAGATAGTTGCCACCCTGATTCCTTCACGTACAATCCCACTTGGGTCTGGGTACCTGTCTCCATGATTTTACTTTTTGTATCCAGCTTAGTTCTCCTTAAAAAATAAGAGGAATGGTATTCAGTCAAATTACCAAGGTTGTATTGTGTCGGCCAAAAAGTTTGGGTTGGCCAAACATCTCTTCCATAAGATGTTATGGAAAGACCCCCAACAAACTTTTGGACCAACCAATATTATACTGGGGCTGCCTAGCTGGGCTGATTTCAAAGGGGCAGGGGAGGCCACCGAGGGTGTCAGGGTGATCTCTGCCTATGGCAACAGGATTCTGAGAATCTCTGGAGAGTCACCATTATGCTTCTGAGTAATCCTAAGGGGATCTTGAGGTCAGCACAAGCCTGAAGCAGACTGATGGGAGATTACACAACTAGGGTTTTTCCCTGGGGTTCTTCCATATCCATCCCTTCTAAACCTGCATCCTCAGGAAGTAACTCTTGGTCCCATGATCACCCTCAGGTGTGGATATGGGTGTGGGCTTTGGGGTTTGGCCCTGTGGCCTCAAGGTCATGTCACTGACTATACTGCAGGGGTCAGTGCAGTGGTTGTCAAACTCCTTTGTTAGGGATTCCGAGCTGCCTCATGAATATGCAGAATGCAGTGGAGAATAAGCTTGAAGTGAAGAAAGGAGCCTCAGTCTTCTAGAATCCTTGATATTCTACTTTCTCCAGAAACCAATATGACACAAATAGCCACTGACTTATTGAGAGTCCACTCACAGACTTAAGATCTGTTCATTTAGGAAAGGATGAAGCGGTAAGGGATTGTTTCCGAAATCTTGATTTTGAACGACCATGCGTTGCACTTTCTCTGTTGAACAGGAAGTATTTTTATTATCACAGGGACTGCATGAGTTTTAGAACAACAGAACAAGCAAAGAGGCTGCACACTGGGCCCAGTCACCAGGAGTCACAGTCCTCACATGTCTGAGTTTTGAAGTACTGAAGAATCATGCTAATCTGTACATTGTATAACTCACAGGCATGAATACTCTGTAATTTGATATTAGCAACTCAACTGTTTATCATTTTAAAAGTTGTATATTTGAAAATATGGTTTTCCATGAAACTATTTTCAGTGGTTCTTGAATTTATATAGTTTTTCTCAAAGACTTTCACTGTTAATTCAGGTGATCCTTGAGAAAGAATCCTATTCATTAGATCATAATAATACTGTTTTGGTTTTGCAGGAAAAAAAAACAAACAGGTTTAGAATGAAATGGCTTGGCCATGGTCACATAAATAGTCATCAAGTTAAAATTGGAGCTCAAGGTCAGTTCAGTTCAGTTTAGTTCAGTCACTCAGTCGTGTCCGACTCTTTGCAACCCCATGAATTGCAGCACACCAGGCCTCCCTGTCCATCACCTACTCCCAGAGCTTACTCAAACCCATGTCCATCGAGTCGGTGATGCCATCCAGCCATCTCATCCTCTGTTGCCCCCTTCTCCTCCTGCCCCCAATCCCTCCCAGCATCAGGGTCTTTTCCAGTGAGTCAACGCTTCACATGAGGTGGCCAAAGTACTGGAGTTTCAGCTTCAGCATCAGGTATTCTAGTGTCAAATCTGACTTCTTTGTGTTCTAAAATAATAGCTAATCACAGTTAATTAATTTTTTTTCTATAGTCTTTAAACATATTTTAAATTTAGTTAAAGGTAAATTTTTGTTAAGGTAAGTTTTTGACCTACAACGCACCAGATCTTGCATCTCCTGTCTGGTTCACCTAATGTTGTCATGCGTGGTCTGTTAGGTTATTCAAATTGATTGTGATAAACTTTTACTGAGTTACCTGCAAGTGTAGATGTTTCTTTCTTGAACGATCTGTTACCAGGACCACACCAGGGTAGGTGCCGATACCTCTCAGGACATCCAGCTCTTTGGGATAGGAATTCAGCCTGAGCACTGTGAGATCGACATTGGCTCTGATGGAGAGGTCAGCCTTACTCCAAAAGAAAATGCACGGTAAGAAAAGTACCATATAGATAACTAATGAGAGCCTACTGCGTAGTGCAGGGAGCTCTTCTTAAATGCTCTGTGAGGACCTAAAGGGAAGGAAATCCAAGGAAGAGGGGATATATGCATCCACGAGGCTGATTTACCTTGCTGTAAAGCAGCTCTTGTCGTCGTCGCTGTTGAGTAGCTAAGTCCTGTCCAGCCCATTAAACCCCATAGACTGTAGCCCACCAGGCACCTCTGTCCAGGAGTTTTCCAGGCAAGAATACTGGAGTATTCGGTTGCCACTTCCTTCTCCAGGGGATCTTCCAGACTCAGGGACTAAACTCGTGCCTCCTGCATTGGCAGGCGGATTCTTTATCGCTGAGCCACCTGGGACGCCCTAGACTCCAATAAAAATTAATTTTAAAGTAATAAGAATAAAGAGATGGTAGGGAAGAACAAAAAAAAGAAAAGTACCTTAACATAGCTTAAGTGCCTCATTTTCAGGAGTAGACTGCCCCTTTCTATTTGTTCAGTTATCAAAGTTAAGGCCACACTAGCTTTTGCTTTCTGCTTGTAGAGAGCTGTGTAAGCAAAATTTAGAGCACCAGCTTAGGCGAGGCTGATTCTGCCTTCACTAGCTGGGAGATCTTAGATAAGGTACCTCTTTTATCTAATCTTCAATTCCCTCATGTGATAAATAAGGCTAAGGGTAGACAAAACATATAAATCACTTCCCTCAGTGCCTGACACACATAAATATTGAATAAAGTTAGTTGTTACCCATTTAATGCATTATATGAAAAGCCATTATTAATCAGATAACCTCATTATATGAAGAATTCCTACACTAAGCTGTAATATGTAAAAATTTGAGAATCGATAGGGTAATATATTTACTTTTTTATTTCTACTAAATGATGTCTTCAATTATTTTATAAGCACATATAAAATGAAGTCTTAAAACAATATTCATTAATGCACAACATTATAATTCAGAACATACACTTTTGTGAAGAAAACTACATTCTTGTCAAATTATTCTGTTAATATCAGCCATATACATTTCCAAGTGATGAAAACCTGAGACTAAAACTACTAAAAAAATGCAAGATTCGTGGAATTTGTAGGTCTTGTGTTAAAGTGATATATTGTTAGCTTATTAAATGATAAAATGATACTATTCCTTACTTTTTATTTATTCCAAGTACAAATAAAATTTATCTTTGTGCTGTACTCCACCCCCATTAGAAGCTCTGGAGTTTTTTCCTACTTTTTTAATTGATAAAATTATGTGTGTATATACACACACATGCACACACACACAACGTGACAATTTAATCATTTTCTCTTTCAATTCTATATCTGAAAATGATCTTATTTAGGAGATTTCCTCGTACCTGATTTTACCTCCAAGTCTTTTTACCCTACTTTTCTTCTGTTCCCACCATGCCCCATCTCCTCCTTTCCTATAACCTGAGGGCAGTGGTTCATTCATTCAGTATACTTGCTTTAGGCTCTGTGCTGGGAATGCCCAAGTATAGTGACTCAAAGCCTAGTGGAGGAGGATGTATAGAAACAACAGTTATTTTACAGGAAGCTAAGTGCTCCTTCTAAAGTGATCTTTATAACCTGCAAATCTGATCACTATAAAAGTGTGTGGGGTTTGCAGGACTTAGGATATGCTATTGTCATGGGAATGCACAGTAGCAAAAGAAGCGAAGAACAAAATATATTTTAGAATTGTGTAAGAGTTGGCGAGATTTAGTGACGTGCTCAGGGACAGCATAGGAACTCAGTAAAGGAAAATAAGTCAGCGATATTGAATTTCTGTCTTAGAAAAGAGATAAACAGTGGTGCTACTAAATCAAGATAAGGTATATTAGAGGAGGAACAGGCTTGCAGGATGACAGATAATGAGCAGTAATGAGTTCAGTTTGGGATATTTTGAGTTTAGGCTGTTCTTGGGGTATCAGTGTGAAGATTTCCAGGTGCACATTGGATTTAAGGCTATAGACCCTACACTGAAATACAGAGCTGGGTATTATGTGTTGCCTGTTTTGAAAGTGGATCTAGAATGAATAGTGGAAGCATTAAGTCAATGTCTCTGGGACGATCTGAAGATAATCCACGAAGGGGGCTGGGACAGGGAGTCAGAGAGGCAAGGTACAATGATGGATTCCAAGGAAAGAGAACATTCAAAGAAGAGGTCGGTATAGAAGTTAAAGAGTTTCTTTGGGACTTAGCAGTTAGGAAGACATTAACAACCAGGGGATGTTTGAGTACCAGGCAGTTGTGGGTATGGAAGGAAAAAGTACAAAGAAGGAAGAATAGCAGGTGGGGAAGTGGGCAGAGAATCTTGGTTGTGTTGATGGGAGTGGGATTGGAGACACAGCAAGAGGAGGATGTGGGGTGAAGGGATAGTCCTTATTTCCTTGGATCTTCCCCAAGTTCACCGGTTCTCTCTTCACATGTCTTACCTGCTGCTTAACTACATTCTATTGAGTGTTAATCTCAGTGTCTCTGTTTTTCATGTGTAGAAGTCTAAGAAGTCTTTTTTAAGATATGCCTGCTCTCTATTAGTAGAATTTTGTTTTTACTCCATTGTATGCTTTAGTAATTTTATTTTTACTTATTTCATTGCCTTTATTTGGAAATGCTCTTCTTTGATGTTGTTGGGGCTTTAGTCCAACTTTTGCTGTATCTGCTGATAACTTTGCTTCCTAAAGCAGTTCATGATTTTTTAAATTTGTTCCTCTTCAGTGGTTTGTAGGAGTCTTGTGGTCTGGGTGAGGCTACATAATTTCCTGCGAGGACATTTTATATTTGCTTCCTCCATGTACCCCTGGCATGTGTCCAAGTGGAAATTACTTCTATGCTAATTTCTTGGCTTGGGTACATTGCCAAACCAGGCACTTTTCTGTAACTTTTTCTTTTTTATATTATTGTATTAAGAGCATGATATGTTCGTGTGTCTGTGTGTGTATAAGCAAGCACCTAGAATAGGGACCCTCTAAAGATACAGATGATCACAAAAGTGATAAGTTAAAGAAGTAAAGCTTATTATATTTCTCTCTGATTTACTCTGGAACTGTTTTTAGTTTTATTCTAGAAGAACGCTGCTCAGTAGAACTTTCTGAGACCATGGAAAGGTTCTCTATCTGCTGAGACCGTTTTGGTAGGCACTGTCGAGGTGGTGTGGGCTTTCCTGGTGGCTCAGTGGTAAAGAATTCACCTGCCAATGCAGGAGACACAGGTTCAGTCCCTGAGTCAGGAAGATCCCCTGGAGGAGGGCAGGGCAACCCACTCCATTATTCTTGCCTGGGAGATCCCATGGACGGAGGAGCCTGGTGGGGCTACACTCCATGGGGTCGCAAACAGTTGAACGTGACTCAGCAACTGAGCAGGCGCACACACAAATCGAGGTGGGGCTCCTGAGAATTAACGTATGGCTAGTGAGCATGAGAAGCAGGGTTTTTAGAAGGATCATTCGGTGTTTAGAATAATAAAGGACACGCGTGACACATTACGTCTCTTAAGGGAGAGTTCCCCCGCTTAACCTCTTGAGCTCCTGGGTCGGAGTTTCCTGCTCGTTCCTGTTCAGCTGACGTATCCCCCGCTTCCGTGTCCTCCCAGGTCCTGTGTCAACGGCACGCTCCTGTGCAGCACCACCCAGCTGTGGCACGGGGACAGAATCCTGTGGGGAAACAACCACTTCTTCAGGTAACTGCTTTGTGCTCACTACTGTGTTCACTGACACATCTTTTCTGTTACCTGAGTGTGAAACACGTTGATTTTCACTAATGGTCAAAAACCCCACAGAATTAATTTGCCTAAGAGGAAACGGCGAGACTGGTTGAAAGATTTTGAAAAAGAGACAGGCCCACCGGAGCATGACCTGGATGCGGCCAGTGAAGCTTCTTCAGAGCCAGACTACAACTACGAATTTGCCCAGATGGAGGTTATCATGAAAACGCTGAATAGTAATGGTGAGACCCTAAACAGTTACTTTCTCTCTCTCCTCTTTAAATGACTCTGAGAGGAATTTGAGCATGGCTAGAGAATTGTCAGATTTCTGGCAAATCAAATTGGGTATTCTGTTGCAGGAATAAAGATTTTGACCTTTTTTGTTTATTTCTGGATTTTTAGCTTCAAGGATCCCTCTTTTTAATTATAAAAATGAAGTATCAAGAGGCTAGATGAGAAAACAAGTGTGATATATTACTATGTAGAGTATAGAATAATAGAAAAGAGCATCATTAAGATTAGGGATTAAGCATCATTAAGATTAGGGATTAAGGGACTTCTGTGGTGGTGGTTAAGACTCTGCCTTCCAGTGCAGAGGGCACAGGTTCGATCCCTGGCCGGGGAACTAAGGTCCCACGTGCCATGCTGTGGCCAAAAATTTAAGAAAGCAAAAAAAGAGATTAAGATTAACTACTGGGGCTTTTGACAGCGCAGCGCATGGAGGACCACGGCTGGGACTCAAGCTCCAGCCTCTCTGCCACTTGCTCACCAAGTTGGGAGGAGTCCCGACAGACATTTCATGCTCAGACAGAATCACCTTAATGGGTCATTTAACAACATGCCTGAGCAGCAAGTCTCCTGTGAGTGGTGATTTGGAAGCCCCAGTAGGTACAGGGTGTGACAGGAGGGAGGGTGCAGTTCCAAACTCCAGGTGAAAGAGCGCCCATTAGAAGAGAGCTTCTCTCTTTAAATGCAGTTGCAGACTTCTGGATGTCTCCGTTCTCCAACTCTGTGAAGTATCTAAGTGGTAGCTATTTAATCATCTGTCTATCATCCCATGTCACACATTTCTAATTTCTCCAGTCACTACCTGCTTATCCTGTATATATATATATAGTCCCCCGGGATAACCAGTGAGTCTGTAGTACTTGATAATCCCTCCATCCTTCTTAGCCGGAGCAATTAGTCATCAGTGGCGGGGCTCATGGTGTTAACGTGAGTATCCATTTGTGTTCTAGATCAGACTTTGATCTCTAGTGTTGATTTCATTCATGTAAAAGTAATGCTTCCCCGTCACTATGCTTTCCCCTCTCCCCTTGCTAAGCGGAGCTCCCCTGTAGGGCACACTGCTGTGCTCCAATACGATGCTGAGATGCCGGCGGCCAGCAGAATTCACGCTCTTCACCTCTACTGTTAGGTGGATTCCCGATCATAAGCCTGTCTGCCTGGTGGTCGTCCCCTTGGTGGTCCTATTTGAAGATTCTCTTCCCTCTCATGTGGTTTCAGACGAAGCTCCTCCACAAACACTGGGATAAAGGTTTTAATGCATTGGCTTTAGCTTGAGGGAGTTTGGCTGGTTTTTAGCAGGAATGCCTGTTGGCGCTTGTGCTTCATGCTTTGGCCAGGTCTAACATGATGGGGGAGACATTGCAGTCTTCTGCCTGGCAGAGGTGCTCTGAATTCTTGTTGGGGGAATGTTCCCTTTTCAGTGATGACCGCCTCCTCCCCGTTCCTGAATTCCATGGCCTTCCCAATGGTTAGAATCTGGTGGCTGTTCTTTTCCTCATGTAGCCGACAGCCAGAAATGTCTCTGGTATTTTTATTTCTGTCGACAGGACTGCAGTTCAGGATATGGTACTTCTGGGTAAATAGTCACCTGCATTATCCCAGTGATAAACTGAAATAGCGTATCTTCAAATCTCTGGAATAATTAATGGTCTAAAACCCAATTCATCTGAGTTAAGAGTGAAAGCAAACCTAGTATTTTTAGACCATGATACGTTTTTCTCGACAACAACTGTTTTCACAGAGTCAGTGGCAGCTCCGAAATAAAGAAGAACTGAGGGGCTGGTGAAGGGCCCAAGAGCTTATTCCATCTGGGATTAAAAGGTTCTTTTTTTCCCTTGAAGGATCTATTCTGCCCTTCAGTGCCTTAGGCGTCTTGATATGAATTAATTCTAATTTTCTGGGTCACTTTTTTAAAAAAATTTTCTGGGTCATAGGGCTTCCCTTGTGGCTCAGCTGGTAAAGAATCCTCCTGCAATGTGGGAGACCTGGGTTTGATCCCTGGGTTGGGAAGATCCCCTGGAGAAGGGAAAGGCTACCTACTCCAGTATTCTGGCCTGGAGAATTCCATGGGCTGTATAGACCATGGGGTCAAGGGTCGGACACAACTGAGTGACTTTCACTTTCACTTTCCTCTGGGTCACATAAATGCCCTTCACCCTTTACACCATCACCCTCTCTCTTTCCCATTCTCAGAACAAACAGGGAAGTTTGCGCTCATTGCGTAGTTATGTACCAGGCAGAGAATAAAGTAAGGAAGAAGGGAGCATGCTATGCCCAAAGGATAAGAGGTCCTTTCTCTCCTCCTAAAACACTTATCCCTTTGGTTTCTTGGCCTGAGGCTTCAGGCTCACTGAGTTTTAAAACAGTTCATTCAAGAGAAAGAAAGTGATAGGGAAATGAAGGAAACTGTTAACAGTCTCTTGATAGTGGACTGGTGATTTGAGAACAGGCCAGATCATCTTTGGTTTCTGTCCTTGCCCATATCACAGAGTCAGACTGACAGGCTGATTGGGATGATCTTTTTAAGAGTATGCGATATGGGGAGAACAGATACATGTATAGGTATGGATGAGTCCCTTTGCTATTCACCTGAAACTGTCACAGCATTGTTAATTGACTATACCCCAATACAAAATAAAAAGTTTAAATTTAAAAACAAACAAACAAAAAAGAATATGCTGTATAGGGAATTCCCAGCGGTTAGGATTCAATGCTTTTACCTCCAAGGGCCTGGGTTCGATCCCTGCTCCGGCAGCTAAGATCCCACAACCCGTGACATGTGGCCAAAAAAAAAAAGAAAATGCTGTATAGTGAGAAAGGCTTAAAACAGGTTAATTAATTCAGAAAGAAAATGTTATCAAATACGTCTAAGGGAAAAGTGTTTCCAGACTTGTGTTGGGGTCAGAGGAAAAAAGAAACCTCAGCCGCTGTACCTGTTTGGGACTCTGTGTATCCCGGTCACCCTGGAGTCCCCGAGCAGGGCTTCCCGGGCTGGTCCATGGCAGGCGAGGGGAAGGATGCTTGGAGTTGCCCTTTTGTGCATCTGTGTGTTGATCCGTGGCTCCTGAAAAGGCCTGGTGAGCAGTAGGGGCGCTGTGTCATGACCAGTCACATCACTTGTACGTTGGCATGGAGCCCCCTCCTCAGCCACTTGGGATATGTGTGTTTCTACACACCATTGACCAGCAAGCAGAAATGAGAATTAAACATCTTATTCAGTGTCTTTTAGCCAAAGCCCTAGAATATGATTTTATTAAAAAAAAAACTGGTGTGTTTTCCAGTTTTCTTTCTCTGAAAAAAGGTTCATACACACTAAGTTAGGGCCCTGTAAATCGATGGTGAGGACCCTGTCCTTTCTTTTTGACACCTAGAGCCTAAATAGAGAAAAATATATATATATAGTTTGAGAAATATACATATATATAAAATTCTGAGAGAACTTTTCTTCTCTTGCCCTTACATGTAAAATTTTTTAAAACTCACTCAAAAAGCATTACCATATTATTCACAATTTTTCTTCCAGAGGTTATAAGACTGTATCAGAAGTTCTAATCCTTTGGAATATGTCAGCTTTCACTACGGGAAAGGTCTTACGCAGCCATGGTCTGTCTTTGTGTGAGAGGGTTTTTTTTTTTTAAGAGTCCATTTCTCACTGGCCTCTCAGGTAATGCATTTCAGGGACTCTGACATCAGGAGTCTGTGAATAAAAGTATTCCTGCTTTGAAAAAAAAAATGAATTTTAGAATTTTACATCAGCAAAGAACAGTATTTTTTAAACATCTGTTCTTTAGCAGAGTACTAATTCTGAGGAAAACATTGGAGGTAAGAGTATAATTTATTACTAAGTGTGTTTCCTACCCCAGATAATTAACTCTGGCCTGAGTTCAAAACCTGGCTCTGTTGCTTTTCTTATCAGCTGTGCCGCCTTAGGTTGGCCTCTTAACCTTTCTGAGCTGCAGTTGTCTCATCTTTAAAATGGGAATGCTGTCCACCCCTAGGTGTGTTGCAAGGCTTTCATGAGATGATGCATGCGAAGCATAGAGTGCCTCTACCCTGAGACATAAGCCAACAGATAGTTGAATTATTATTGCTGTTTGTGGTCATCATTTTTATTAAAACAACTCACCTATACTGTGCATATCTAGTGATTTTTTAAAATTACTTTTACTCTGTTTTGTATTATTTAACTTTCTTTTTTAAGCTAAAGTGCTATTTTTTCCTCTTCTCATATAGAAAACTAGTAAAATATGAATGCTTATTTCACAAATTGATAGGGTCTTCTGGTCAAGTCAGTCAGTATCCATCATCAGGTGATGTGAAGATTCCTCTTAATTTCCTTCTCTTATCCCAGAAATTAAAATGAGAGTCAATTTGTAGAAATAGAACACTGCACTGAGTAATAGGCAAGTCTGTGAATCACAAACTAGTCTGAGAATACAAGTAAATCTCCTAGGTCCTATGTACTTCAAGGAAATACTCACCCTTATGGTAAATTTCTCTTTCTTTACCACCCAGATTGTCTTAACATACTGTTTCCCTATTATGGCCTCCTCACTTAGATGTGTCATAGCTTTCTCTTTCGTACACGTGATCTGTGCTTTCCTTAATCTTTGTCCACTGCATCCAGGTCACTGGCTGTTACCAAGCTAGTGTCCTGGCACAGCCAGCTAACTCTTTAGGATTGAGCCCTACCTACACCATAACCACCCCTCGTCATAGTCAGGCCCCTTTAAATAAGATCTATTAGTGTTTCTAATACCTGTTCACCCACACGTATGTTGGTCATCTCTCAATCTGCAAAAGCAAAAAAGTAGAAGTAGATATTTGTTTTGACAAGTGAATTGCTTTCTTGGCTATTAAAACCTGAGAAATTGCCAGGCCATATACGCAATTCATATTTTCAAACAGATGCTGTGATCTCTAAGTTTCCTCCCACATTAGAGAAATTCAGGAGAAACAAATTTTTAGCCAAGTTGGAACTAGAAACCCTTTGTCAATGGATTTGTCCATGGGAACTATAAACCCTTTGTCAACTAAAACCAGTGCTAAATGCACCTAAAAAGTGACGACATAAAATCAGATCTTGTATGGCTCTGTCTTGAGTCTTTCTTCTTGGTGGATAGAATGCCATCCCTCTTTCCTTTACCCTCTTCTTTTTGTGGTTGAACCACCTATGTAGACATCAGGGCAAGCTCATCAAATTGAAGAACGTAATAATAGATGTGAGGAATGTTTCCATACAAGGTGTTTAGTCTGAAATGTTAAGAAAAAGGAAATGGAGAGAATTCCACCTGGCCGGGCCGGGCCGGCCGCTCACAGACAAGCCCACGGAAAGGCTCCGTCTGGGGGAGGAGACGGTTCTTGTTAGAAGCCTCGCTGGGGTTGAGGGGCACTGCCTGTCCGAGCCACCGCTGAAGAGCCCCTTGCCTTGTCTCTTGGTCACCAGACCCAGTTCAGAACGTGGTGCAGGTCCTGGAGAAACAGTACCTGGAAGAGAAGCGAAGCGCTCTCGAGGAGCAGCGGCTCATGTATGAGCGGGAGCTGGAGCAGCTCCGCCAGCAGCTGTCCCCGGAGCGGCAGCCCCAGAGCAGCGGCCCCGACCGCCTGGCCTACAGCAGCCAGACGGCGCAGCAGAAGGTGACCCAGTGGGCCGAGGAGAGGTAGGAAGGGGGCCCGGGGGCCGGGGCCAGGCCTCGGGGCCTCGGGGGAGGCCGTCGTAAGGCACGTCAAAGGGGGACAAACCTAGCAAAGAGGGAAGTCTTACTTCCATGTCTGAATTGTTAGTGGTCGCCTTGTCTTTCAAGGAAGATTCCCCTGGAGAAGGAAATGGCAACCCACTCCAGTCTTCTTGCCTGGAAAACCCCATGGATGGAGGAGCCTGGCGGGCTACAAGTCCATGGGGTCCAGAAGAGTCGGACACGACTGAGAGACTTCACTTTTCCACTTTCAAGTATGTTTACTGTGACGTCAGTTGTTAAAGATTACACCTGCCCCGTTACCCTTCAGTAAAAATGGTTCCAAGTTAGAATACCACTGGTTTTGAAGTAAAGAACAACTGAATGGTTCTAAAGTATAAAAAACGGGCTTCCCTGGTGTCTCCCATGGTAAAGAATCTGCCTGCAGTGCAAGAGATCCGGGTTTGATCCCTGGGTCCAAAAGATCCTCTGGAGAAGGAAATGGCAGCCCACTCCAGTATTCTTGCCTGAGAAATCCATGGACAGAGGAGCCTGGCGGGCTACAGTCCATGGGGTCCCAAAGAATTGGACATGACTTTCACTCACTCAAAGCATAAAAAGCATTTCTTGTTATTTCTCTTACTTTGAAGTCAATTTAAATGCAGTTTTAATGTTAAGAAATCTGAATTTTTAAAATTTACAACTTTAAAATATTTGTATCAGAACTGAGGCAGTGGTGGAGGAAATGCTAACAACAGTAAAGACAATAAATTATTGCAAAGCTCTGTTGTATTCTTGCTGCAGTCTAGGAATGGTGCTTTTTTATGATCCCAACAGCACCAAGTCATGGGAAATATTATTTCAATCAATCGAAATATTCTCTCAGTCATGCATTCAGTAAATGAAAAGGCCAGGCTTTGTCAATAGTCCATTAATAACTCCTCTGTTGTAATAATAATAGCACTGGATATTTCTTAAGCATTTATCGTGTGTGGACACTACATGCCACAGAAAATCTGTGACTTTGCAGTTGGTCCTTGATATCTGCATTCCACATCCATAGATTCAAACAACCATGAATCATAGAGGAAAAATTCCATATCTAAGTGGACCTATGCAGTTCAAACCCATGTTGTTCAAGGGTCAGCTCTACTCTTTCTTTCATTCACTGGGTAATTTTTGCATATTCTATGATGGGCCATGTACTTGGCCAGGAATTAGATGTAGTAACAAGCAAAAAAGACATGGTTCCTGCCTTAGGGGTGCTTACAGCTTCATAGGGGAGATGAATGTTATTAGTCAAATAATTATACAAGTAAGTGAAAAATTGTAATTATGATGAAGACTGAAAGTGAAAGTCACTCAGTCATGTCCAACTCTTTGCGACCCCATGAAATAGACCATGGAATTCTCCAGGCCAGAATACTGGAATGGTTAGCCGTTCCCTTCTCCAGGGGATCTTCCCAACCCAGGGATCGAACCCAAGTCTCCCACATTGTGGGCGGATTCTTTACCAGCTGAGCCACAAGGGAAGCCCAGGAATACTGGAGCGGGTAGCCTATCCCTTCACCAGCAGATCTTCCCAACCCAGGAATCGAACTGGGGTCTCCTGCATTGCAGGCAGATTCTTTACCAGCTGAGCTACATGATGAAGACTACTGAGGCAAAAGATGTGGCTCTGGGAAAATATGTAATAGGGTTTGGATCTGGTCAGGATGTTAGAGACACATTTATCAGGAAGCACTATCATTTAGAGTTGAAAAGCAAACTTCTGCTGCCCCAAAAGTACCTACTTCTCACATTTACCAAGTGAAGAAATCACATAAAACACTTTCTCCTTATTCTAGACCTCCTCCACTGCAAAGCTTACAAAAGTCATAATGATTTCTTTTTCCTAAAGGAATGCTTTATTGAGCTTTTTTTTTTTTTGCATTTTCATTTCAAAATTGATTCTTTTTCAAATATTATATAATTTAAAACATGGTTGGAAGTTAAGTTACCCCACACATTTGCTCCTCATCCCTGGTTACCAGTGAATAGCCTATGGAACCCTGGTGGGAAGAGGGAAGAATAAGAGGTGAATTGGCAACGATAGGTTGAAAGATAATAGTCTGAGAGGAGATTCTTACTACTTTCTAATAATATGACTCACTTGGAAAATGGGATTGCAGTTTTCTTCCAGATGTTCTCATTTCCTTCTCTGCTGCTCGCAGGGACGAACTCTTTCGCCAAAGCCTGGCAAAACTGCGGGAGCAGCTGGTGAAAGCCAACACCCTGGTGAGAGAGGCAAATTTCTTAGCCGAGGAGATGAGCAAGCTCACCGACTACCAGGTGACTCTGCAGATCCCTGCCGCGAACCTCAGTGCCAACAGGAAGGTGAGAATGCTCTCAAAGAGGAAGAGGGCCAGAGGCGCGGCAGTAGCTTTTGAGAGGTAGAACAGATCCTTGACATCTGCAGAACATCTGTGAGGAGACCCTGACGTGAGCCAGAGGGTACTTGCTAGTTTAAATGCTTTCTTTAAAACATTGAAACTTGGGGATTCCCTGGTGGTCCAGTGGTTAGGACTCTGCTCTTTCACTGCTGTGGTCCAGGATTCACTCCCTCGTTGGGGAACTAAGATGCCGCAAGCTATGCAGTGCAGCCAGAAATAAGTACTAAAGCATTGAAACTAGAAATGGATATAACTAACTCCTCTCGCTTTTCTCTCTCATATAAATGCCTCCTGAAATGGGGGATGTGTAAATATCTTATAATAGTACCGTTCTGAGAGAGTGACAAGAAAGGAAAACTCCTATGATCCCTGTTTTATATACACAGAAGGATTCTTTGCAGCCCCTCGGAAGTTTCCATCATTAAAACTTCAAGATTTTTTTCTTTAGGGAGAAACTTTGAAAAGTAATTTTTCCTTCCCAACAAGTGAGCGAGAAATGAGTCAGAGGGTATCTTATCAGCCTTCTTGCATTTTAGTCTTTTGACGAAGTAGTTCTCCTTTGTGAAATTTACTCTAAATCCATACTTATAGAAGTGTTTGTAAAGGTTTATGTGCTTTTGTACAAGGATGCTTCTCATAGTTACCTTTGTAATAGCAAACATTTGAAATAGCCATGATGTTGGGCAGTAGACTAATTAGTCAAATGAGTGATACATCCCCATAACAGATCACTTTGTTGCTATTAAACATTATATTTCTGAAGAATATTTAACCACACAAAAAGGTTAACTGTGGAGAAAGAATTGGGATGGGAAATCTGTATTTTTGCTTGGTTCTGATGGTGATTAAAAATAAAACGTGCCTGCACAGCCCTACAAAGAAGATTGAAAATAAACTAGAATATTCCATATATGGTAGATTTCATCTTTCTTTGTATACATTATGTGTCTTTTTCAAACTTTCTACTTTGTGATAGTGCATATTGCTTCAGCAGTCCAAAACGTTATAACAAGATTTGCTGTGTTTGTTTTTTTGTCTTCGTTTTCCTACATTCTACAGAGAGGAGCAATAGTGAGTGAGCCAGCTATTCAAGTGAGGAGGAAAGGAAAGAGCACCCAAGTGTGGACCATTGAGAAGCTGGAGAATAAATTAATTGATATGAGAGAACTTTATCAAGAATGGAAGGAAAAGATTCCTGAGGTAAAAGGGACAAAATGTCAAGGAGCTTTGGTTGCATTAAAAGGGCAGAATATAAGTGATTTAGCCATCAGAACTGGAGAAGGAAATGACAATCCACTCCACTGTTCTTGTCTGGAGAATTTCATGGATGGGGGAGCCTGGCAGGCTCCAGTCCATGGGGTCACAAAGAGTCGGACATGACTAAGTGACTAACACGGTCGTCAGAACACACACACGGGCATCACTGAATATCTGTAGTGATGCTTGGGACATTTATATTAGAAATGTAAAGTGAACGTGATCTTGAAAGTTCACTTGGATGGGTCATAAAATATGTGATCCTCACATAGATAGGAACTAAGTGAAGAGAACATCTAGCACCTTCTGCATCTTGAGTACATTTTAAGTGAAATGAAGTGGAACAAAGTGGGTTTGTGCTGTTTTGTAGGTGGTGTTAAAAGTCAGCTTAGATGGGCCAGCATGGATTTTGTATTCATTAGCATATGCTCATGCTCCCCTAGCGGTGTTCATGGCTGGATACATGCTAAGAATAATTTTAGAGAGCATGGTCCATTGTTCTGACATGAGTAATGGAAAAAAGGTAGGCTGTGCCAGGGAAGACGGGGAGGGTTGGGGTGGGGTGTGTGGTGGGTGGGGCTATAACTGAAGAAAGGCTTTCCACGCCTTTTCATTAGTTATCGCCCTAACTAACAAGCCCCTCCCGTGTGCTAGTTTTGTTTTATTTTATGACATGATTCTGATTTTACTTTTAATTGATGTGGATAAATGCTTTCTTTTTGAAACATTTTAAAATAGATGGTTTTAAATAGTTATTAGGTTGATGTTTTCTTTCCTACTCACCCCCTACCCCCAACCCCCTAACCTGTCCTGCCACTCAGGCTAAGCGACTCTGTGGGAAAAGAGGTGACCCTTTCTATGAAGCCCAAGAGAATCACAACCTGATTGGTGTCGCTAATGTGTTCCTGGAGTGTCTCTTCTGTGATGTGAAGCTTCAGTATGCAGTTCCTATCATCAGCCAGCAGGGGGAGGTAAGGACGAGCCAGCCTGGGAGAAAATGACCATGGCTCAAGTGTGGTTTTTTTTTGTTTGTTTGTTTGTTTTAACTCGATTTAAGTTATGTTCTTGATTTAGACCCAGAAACTAGGGTGAAGCCTCAGGATCACATTCTTTTCCTCTACTAATATTAGTAGAAACTATCAACATTAACTCATGGCTTTAAAAGATTATTAGAACATGATTTTGTTTGTGGTTCACAAGGATTTTCTTTGTTTTAATTGAATTAGAAATCTTTTGGAAACCAGATTCGGCTCTGTGCCCCAAACTGACTTCTCTTTGAAGCTCTTACCTCCATAATACCCTTTAGCTCCTTCCTGGCCCCCAAGTGATCTTTACAAGATATGAAAATGAAAGTGAAAGTTGCCCAGTCATGTCCAGCTCTCTGTGACCCGATGGACTGTATAGCCTGCCAGGCTCCTCTGTCCATGGAATTCTCCAGGCTAGAATACTGGAGTGGGTAGCAGTTCCCTTCTCCAGGGGATCTTCCCAACCCAGGGACTGAACCCAGATCTCCCGCATTGCGGGCAGATTCTTCACCATCTGAGTCCCGAGGGAAGCCCTTATAAGATATAACTTGAAAGGATTATTTTGAAATCTGAAATATTCAAAACAAGCTTAACCATCCTACTGTTACCACCTCTTTAAAAACAATGCCTCTCATATTTCAATTATTTCATTATATTGGCCTTATGTCAGCCTGAAACATTTCAGAAAAATGTTCAAGTTCTAACTTTTTTTTTTATTACCCAGTTCATCAATGAATGTCTTCATTTTAAATTTAGTAATATCAATATTTCATGATGCTACTAAATTTAAAAGTAATTTGTTCTTTAATAACACGCAAACTTGGAAATACTAAGTTGCTTTTCATGATTCTTTTTTTAAGTTACATTTTTATTTTACTTTTAAAATTTATTTTTAATTGGAGGATAATTGTACAATGTTGTGTTGGTTTCTGCCATACATCAACATGAATCAGCCATAAGTATACGTATGTCCACTCCCTCTTGAACCTTCCTCCCACTCCATCCCACCCCTCTAGGTTGTCCCAGAGCACCAGTTTGAGCTCTCTGCATCATACAACATATTCCCACTGACTGTGTAGTTTACGTATGGTTTGTGGTTCTTAGAGCAGGCTGAGAATAGGGCTCCACTCTGCCTGAAGTGAACCCAGAAAATAAACCCGAGGTTCCCAGCTGTGATGTGTAAGTCCATGGCTCATATTCCCACACGTGTAACCCACCTGTGAACACTATGCTATAGGAAACTAATGAAGTAAGTTACTGTTTGCCATGTTAAAAATGGGCACAACTCCCATGGCAAAGGGACCTAGTAGCTGAGTCCCTAGTCAGGGTTACTTAAGCTAGGTTCCATGGTGGGCTTTGAGTGTTCCATTGATCCCCCTAAAATTTTACTAAAAATATATTAGGTTCTCAAAAAAAATTAGGGGAAAAAAGCTTAAGAAGTACCATCTTCTAACTGATTTCTCCTATTTCCTTTCTTCCCTTTCTCATACTCCTTCCTCCAAATTTGTCTCACTTGTCAAATACCATCAACTCATTTCTCGCAGGTCCTGGGTGTCAGGGCCAGTTGCTCTGCAGAAGGTGATCTGAGCTATCTTTGAGAATGAGCCTCACTATTTAAGATGACAGCAGCACTGCCAGTGTGTGTGTCCCCTTCACGACTTGTCATTCCAACCTTAAAGTGTGGTCTCATAGATAAACCTGGTTGATTACCGCACTGCAAGTCTGCAAAGGTTGGGTGATTCCACCCATTACATTCAGTTCTGTGCCAGCAGTTACAGGAGAGATGCTGCTAAACTCTCAACGATCCAGAGAACCGTTAAGGGGATGGAGACTTCAAGCCCCACCCACCCCCTTTTTTCAGAAAAACCACCTTAAAGGAACTGTTTCCTTATAACTTAGTGGCTTTGTATTTGTCCTCCCTCCTGGAGTAGGTCTCACCCTTCACCCTGCTTCCAGCCACTATGTGAGGTCTGTTCGCCTTTTCTGCTCCCAAGAGAATAGAGGCCATATGAGCCCAGTGGCCTGACTGTTTGGTTTACTGTTGTAAGCACAATGCTTCGTACCTTCCCTGGCACCCAGTCACTTCTCCCTAAATATTTGTCAGGTGGATAAATTCGTCTCATGACAACCCGCACATATCTCTGTTAGAGCAGTTAGTCTATACTGCTGTTCCTGGGCTTTTAATTCTCTGTCTCCTCGTTTGACTGTGCGCATCCAGACAGCAGAGCCTGTGTCTTTATCTTGGTGTTCCCCACGATGCCAGGTATTTGATCAGATGAGTATGTGAATGAATATATGAACAAGGGAAATAGATGACTCCAAGTATCATGTGTTAGCTGCCTTTGTGCTGTTCATGAACTGTCCTGTAGAAGAAGGGTAAGAATGAAGATGATTCCAGGAGGCACATTTTGCTCCAAGTAAAGCCTGGTGATTTCCGAGCAGGTGATGGAGTGGACTAGCGCTGGAAGTTTCCTGTTGCTGGAGGTGGCCTAGTTGTCACAGTGGAGCTGCTCACTGGGGGTTATGGTTGCATCCTTTCCATCTCAGGTTGGTTTTGTCCACAGGCTGCCTTTTAACCCCTCGGTGCTCTGGTTCCTTGACCCAGGTTGCAGGGCGTCTCCACGTGGAAGTGATGCGAGTTACAGGCGCCGTCCCTGAGCGCATGGTGGAAGACGACTCCTCGGAGAACTCCAGTGAAAGTGGGAGCCTCGAAGTTGTAGACAGCACTGGGGAAATCATTCACCGAGTCAAGAAACTGACATGCCGGGTGAGAGGGCTGTGGAGGCTTGAATAAGTGATCTTTTCCATTCAAACAATTTGATGGAAAATCTTGGGCATTTTGCATATGACATGAGTGAGTGAGTGAGTGAAAATCGCTCAGTCGTGTCCGACTCTTTGCGACACATGGACTATACAGCCTATGGAATTCTCTAGGCCAGAATACTGGAATGAGTAGCCTTTCCCTTCTCCAGGGAATCTTTCCAACCCAGGAATCGAACCCAGGTCTCCCACATTACAGGCAGATTCTTTACCAGCTGAGCCACCAGGGAAGCCCAGGAATACTGGAATGAGGAGCCTGTCCCTTCTCCAGCAGATCTTCCCGACCCAGTAATCGAACCAAGGCCTCCTGTATTGCAGGCAGATTCTTTACCAACTGAGCTATGAGGGAAGCCCCTGCATAGAACATGGTACAAGTTAAACTTTCTGACAGCAAACATGGTAATGGATAGTACGTTTTCCAGAAGTATAGCACACTTTATGATGACAGTTGTGTGAAGTTTCAAAAGTGTCTATGCATGTGAGCTGCAAGGAGTGTATATTGTTTAGTGAATCATGCTTTTCTAGTAAAGGTTGCAGCTGTATCTGAAACTCAGTCATCAGGAAAATTTGAGAGCGATGTGTGCATTTGTCGCCATGCTCATATACTGTAGTTACAAAACTGTGGTACAGATGTCATTACAGACGCTCTTGTATGCGTGTGTACTCAGTCATGTCCGACTCTTTTCGGCCCCATGGACTGTGGCCCACCAGGTTCCTCTGTCCATGGAATCTCCCAGGCAAGAATACTTCAGATGTCAAATGGATGACTGATTTATTTCATCCCTATGAAAAGCATGCATAGTTTGTTTTCTTTATGAGAGTTATATTTGCGTGTTTTTTTTTTTTCTCTTCAGGTAAAAATTAAAGAAGCAACTGGGCTGCCCTTAAACCTCTCAAATTTCGTCTTCTGTCAGTACACGTTCTGGGACCAGTGTGAATCCACGGTGGCAGCCCCTGTTGTGGACCCTGAGGTGCCTTCCCCGCAGTCCAAGGATGCCCAGTACACCGTGACCTTCTCTCACTGTAAGGTACAAATGCCACTGCAAAATGAACTACCTGGGAGGCTGCCGGCCGGAGCCCAGTTCAGAAGTCTACTTGTAACTTATAGGCTTTCCCCATTATGAAATATAATATGTTTATTAGGCTTTTTAACCTCCAAGTGTACTTTATTTTTTACATACAGTTCCACTATATATTACAGTTATTTTCCATGGACAATTCATAATAGATTCTCAAGACTACTATTTTTTTTGAAATTGTGCCCATTTTTTCTTGTTCAACACTTAGAAAACACATCCATATCATCACTTGTAAAATTTCACATATGTAAAGTCTGTCAAGTCATTCTTTTTTTCACCTTTTTAAATTTATTTAATTGATGGATAATTGCTTTACAGAATTTTGTCACTTTCTGTCAAACCTCAACATTAATCAGCCGTAGGTGTATATATGTCCCCTCCCTCTTGGACTTCCCCCCCATCTCCCTCCCCATCCCCTTCCTCTAGGTCCATACAGAGTCCCTGACTGAGCACCCCGAGACCTACAGCAAATTCCCACTGTCTGTCTCTTTTGCATATGGTAATGTAAGTTTCCATGTTACTCTCTCCGTATGTCTCACCCTCTCCTCCCCTCTCCCCATGCCCATAAGTCTGTTCTCTATGTCTGTTTCTCTATTGCTGCCTTGCAAATAAATTCATCAGTTGTCAAGTCATTATTTTTATGAAAACAAGTAGCCCACTTTTTTTAAGCGGTGTTCACCAAGTCTATTTGTCAATTCTTTATTAATCTTTTATTGTTGTTGTTGTTCTCTGAATATTCTTTTAATTATTTCTCATATTTCTTTAGAGCCAAAAAGTTGCTCCTTTAGAAGGGTGAAACCTGGATTTAAAATACATCCTAACCTAGAGGAATCGGGTGGAGAGGGAGGTGGGAGGGGGGATCGGGATGGGGAATACATGTTACTCCATGGCTGATTCATGTCAATGTATGACAAAACCCACTGAAATGTTGTGAAGTAATTAGCCTCCAACTAATAAAATAAATGAAAAAATAAATAAATAAAATAAATATGCTCTAAGGTTAAAAAAAAAAAATCCTAGTTAACAACTAGCTTAATAAATACTAGTCTCAGAGGCCTTGGACTCACTATGTGACCTGGAATTTTTTTTCACCCCTAAAATGTGTAGTTTGTGCTAATTGGTCATTAAGTTTATTTTCCTTTTAAAATTCTGGCCCTATCTTCAAATATTCCAATCCCAAAGAAAGGCAATGCCCAAGAATGTTCAAACTACCACACAATTGCACTCATCTCACGTTCTAGCAAAGTAATGCTCAAAATTCTCCAAGGTAGGTTTCAACAGTATGTGAACCGAGAACTTCCAGATGTTCAAGCTGGATTTAGAAATGGCAGAGGAACCAGAGATCAAATTGCCAACATCTGCTGGATCATAGGAAAAGCAACAGAATTCCAGAAAAACATCTACTTCTGCTTCATTGACTGTGTTAAAGCCTTTGACTATGTGGATCACAACAAACTGTGGATAATTCTGAAAGAGATGGGAATACCAGACCGCCTTACCTGCCTCCTGAGAAATCTGTATGCAGGTCAAGAAGTAACAGTTAGAACTGGACATGAAATGATGGACTAGTTCCAAATTGGGAAAGGAATACATCAAGGCTGTATACTATACTGTCACCCTGCTTATTTAACTTACATGCAGAGTACATCATGTGAAATGCTGGGCTGAATGAAGCACAAGCTAGAATCAAGATTACTGAGAGAAATACAATAATCTCAGATATACAAATGACACCACTGTTATGGCAGAAAGCAAAGAGGAACTGAAGAGCCTCTTGATGAAAGTAAAAGAGGAGAGTGAAAAAGCCGGCTTAAAACTCAACATTCAAAAAATGAAAATCATGGCATCTGGTCCCATCACTTCATGGCAGATAGATGGGGAAACAATGGATACAGTGAGAGACTTTATTTTCTTGGGCTCCAAAATCACTGCAGATGATGACTGCAGCCATGAAATTAAAAGACGCTTGCTCCTTGGAAGAAAAGCTATGACCAACCTAGACAGTATGTTAAAAAGCAGAGACATTACTTTGTCGACAAAGGTCCATCTAGTCAAGCTATGGTTTTTCCAGTAGTTGTGTATGGATGTGAGAGTTGGACCATAAAGAAAGCTGAGTGCCAAAAAATTGATACTTTTGAACTGTGGTACTGGAGAAGACTCTTGAAAATCCCTTGGACTGCAAGGAGATCACACCAGTCAGTCCTGAAGGAAATCAACCCTGAATATGCATTGGAAGGACTGATGCTGACGTTGAAGCTCTAATACTTTGGCCACCTGATGTGAAGATCTGACTCATTAAACAAGACCTTGATGCTGGGAAAGATTGAAGGCAGGAGGAGAAGGAGACAACAGAGGATGAGATGGTTGGACGACATCACCAATTCGACAGACATGAGTTTGAGCAAGCTGTGGGAGTTGGTGGACAGGGAAGCCTGGCGTGCTGCAGTCCATGGGGTCGCAAAGAGTCAGACACAACTGAGTGACTGAACTGTACTGATCTCCAAATAAAATAAGTTAGGTAGTATAACGTTAAACCAATACGGCACAGCACAGCCTTTCCATTTCCTTCCCTTTCCTGCTAATGGGAAGGAAATGAAAGTTCCTTGCCTTTCTGCTTTGTTCTGGGTGATTTGCTTTACTGCTCCATCCATTCCGCGTCTATTTCTTCACTCATCTGCGAAAAGTTGGAGTGAGAGGGCCTTCCTGGTGGCTCAGTGGTAAAGAATCCGCCTGCCGGTGCAGGTGATATGGGCTCGATCCCTGTTCTGGGGATCCCACATGCCACATGTCAAGGAGCAACTAAGCCAGTATAACAACTACCAGGCCTGTGCTTCAGACTGTGGGAGCTGCAACTACGAAGCTCGTGCAGCCTCGAACCTGTGCTCTACAACAAGAAAAGCCACCACAGTGAGAAGCCCGAGCGCTGACATCAAGAAATAAGTGAACGTTTTTTGCAAAGTTGGAGTGGGAGAGTTTAAGAGCAAGAGTGCAGATGGGTGGAGATAATCATATAAAATTTAATTCTGTTTTTAGTCTCCTAAGCCATAGCAAAGAACAATCATAAATTCCTCTTTTTTTTTTTGGCTGTGCTGATTGGTCTGTTCCAGCTGAAAGTCGGAGTGGTGTGGGGAAAAGAGACCGAACCACAAGGGAGGACAGGTTCAGCTCTGCAACAGCAAGCGGTGTGACGTGGGGCAGCTACTTTCCTCAGTGTCCTCTTGTATTAAAGAAAGGAACTCAATGCAGTTATCTCGGAGTATCCCTTCCCATCTAATAATGCTGGTTTCTTTGCCGTTTTCTGTCCAACAGCAGCAGTGTGTTTAAAGTCGGGATCAGGCTAACCTACTCTGAAGTGAATCTGTCCAGTTGAAAGGTAACAAGGAAATTTCACAGATTCCTTTCTGCATAATTCCTGTCCTGTTCCCTTTCCCCTGCTTATCCCAGGACTATGTGGTGAACGTAACGGAAGAATTCCTGGAGTTCATCTCAGATGGAGCACTGGCCATCGAAGTGTGGGGCCACCGGTGTACCGGGAACGGCAGCTCCATCTGGGAAGTCGATTCCCTTCACGCTAAGACGAGAACACTGCATGACAGGTGTGTGCTTGGCTGAGGGCTTCAGACGCGGGGTCAAAGCTCACACTTGGACAGCAGTTGAGAATTAGGACTCTCTGAGCGTATTTCCTCCTTTGTGAAATGGGAATGATGAAAGAAACTACCAGGTTTTGAAAAAATTCAATGGGGAAAGGAACATCTTTTTAATGAGACTGAGACATCTGGGTTCTATTTGGAAGAAAACAACCTTGATTTTAATTCACATGATTCCACAAAACTTAATTTGAGATGGAGCATGATTTTAAATGTAAAAGATAAAACTATATAGCTTATAGAAGAAAACAGGAGGGTATCTTCTTTTAAAGTCGATCATTTGCCTCTACCATAACCCAGCAATCATCCTTCTACTTATTTGCCCAAGAAAAATGAAAATGCAAGTCCATAAGCAGCCTGGTACATAAATGTTTATGGCAGTTCTATTCATAATGTCCCCCAAACTATAAACAACCCAGATGTCCTTCAGTGTGAGAAATAAACTGTGTTATTAGTCACACAATAGACTATTACTCAACAATAAAAAGGAAAAGGACTCTGTCCCACTCTTACCCATTTGGACAAATCTCACAAACTTTATTCTGAATCAGAGAAGCCAGAGCTAGAAGAGCACAATACTACATGATTCCATTTATATGAAGTTCTTGAACAGATAAAACTAATCTGAGGTTATACAGCTATTGTGAATTGTGTGGGAATTGATGGGGAAGGGGCCTGAGCAAACCTGCTGTGGTCATGGCCAGACAAGGGGCACAGATGTGTGCATTTGTCACGACTCATCCAGCTCTACGCTTGAGAGCTAAACAGTTCACTGAATATGTGAACTGTCTATTTTATTCACTCAATAAATTTTATTCACTCAATAAAATAAATGAAAAGAACCTATACCATAGGAGGTTGTTTTGAGAGTTTATTAAATAAGAAAATAATTTGTGTGATACACATAGCACAGTGCCTTACGCATAATAAATGCTCAGTGACTTGGGGCTTCTTCCCATTGCTAATAATGTGTTTGGTTAATAATGACATGGATGGGACTTTCCTGGGGCTCCAGTGGTTAAGAATCCATCTTCCAGTGCAGAGGACGTGGATTCAATCCGTAGTCGGGGAAGTTACACTCCTACTTGTTGAGAGACAACTAAGCCCATGAGCCGCAAGTAGAGACTGTGCAACTCCTGAGCGCAGGTGTTGCTGCTAAGGCACTTCCCAGGTGGTGCCATGGTAAAGAATTCACCTGCCAATGCAGGAGACGCAGGTTCGATCCCTGGGTCAGGAAGATCCCCTGGAAGAGGAAATGGCAACCTATTCCAGTATTCTGGCCAGGATCATCCCATGGACAGAGGAGCCTGGTAGGCTATACAATCCATGGGGTCGCAAAGAGTTGGACAAGATTGAGCACACACACATGCTGCAACTAAGACCCGACAAAGTCAAATAAATAAGAATAAGTAAATGTTAAAAGAATAATGACTTGGTTGTTTGCTGGGACGTGTTTCTGCAGGTGGAACGAAGTTACTCGCAGAATAGAGATGTGGATCTCCATCCTGGAGCTGAACGAGCTGGGGGAGTACGCCGCCGTGGAGCTTCACCAGGCCAAGGACGTCAACACAGGCGGCGTCTTTCAGCTCAGACAGGTACTCGGTTTGCCTCGGCTCGCTTCATGCTTTCTCCCTGTCCACCGTCACAGACATTTTCTGGGACTCTCTAGTTCTTGCCTCTCTGTTCCCTAATTCTTCCCACTCTCCTTTATCCTCTTCACCTGTCCCTCCCGGTTCCCATTCCTGCCACCCATTTCCGCATCGCACCCCCACCTCTGCAGGGTCATTCCCGGAGAGTCCAAGTCACAGTGAAGCCTGTCCAGCACTCCGGCACGCTGCCGCTCATGGTCGAGGCCATCTTGTCCATCTCCATTGGCTGCATCACTGCCAGGTCCACCAAGCTCCAGAGAGGGCTGGACAGCTACCAGGTGAGACCAGCAGGTTTGAAATCATGTTTAACAAAGATTGGTCAATATAGAACTAAGGCAGTCCCCTATAGGAATATAACTAAACTCTTTGCCTTAACCATGTATTTGCCCCACCCCCACCCCATTCATATGTCCATCCGTTGCTTTTTTTACTAGGTTTAAAATACCATATTGGCTTAGTGCTGTATAGTAATAATTTTATTTATAAACACACATTGATGCTATTGTGCTCATTTACTTTAGGCAGGTTTTATTTTACATCAGGCCCAAATTATGTTGGGTGTGTGACTTTTCTGGCTTTGGCCTGATTCCACTTTTATTAATATAAAATTGCCCCCAGATGCTGCCATAATTAACCAGCTCTCTGAAAGCTTTCCTTTTTTTAACTTGAAAGTTGTCCTCATGATCGTTTATGTTCATTAAATCTCCTTTTGCTAAATCTTCTGTTTTCATTTTTTTTTTTTAATTAAAAGGTGGGACCACCTAAGAATTCATCACATTTACCAATCACAATAAACTTTGAGATCAGGGACTTGTCCCCAGGGGCCTGAAAGAACTCACAGGCTTTACTGAGTCCCTGGTTTGCCATCAGATATAATTAGAGACGAGCTTTCCCAATGGCTCAGTGGTAAAGAATCCACCTGCCAATGCAGATGGAGAAGGCAACGGCACCCCACTCCAGTACTCTTGCCTGGAAAATCCCATGGACGGAGGAGCCTGGTGGTCTGCAGTCCATGGGGTCGCTACGAGTCGGACACGACTGAGCGACTTTACTTTGACTTTTCACTTTCATGCATTGGAGAAGGAAGTGGCAACCCACTCCAGTGTTCTTGCCTGGAGAATCCCAGGGACGGGGGAGCCTGGTGGGCTGCTGTCTATGGGGTCGCACAGAGTCGGACACAACTGAAGTGACTCAGCAGCAGCAGCAGCCAATGCAGAAGACCTGGGTTCCATCCCTGGTTGGGGAAGCTCCCCTGGAGAAGAAAATGGCAACCCACTCCAGTATTCTTGCCTAGGGATTTCCGTGGACAGAGGAGCCCGGCAGGCTACAGTCCATGGGGTCGCAAAGTCAAACACGACTTAGCAACTAAATAACAGCAACTTAATTAGAGACTTGGAAGAATCAGATCATTAAATCCTGGCTCCCTCACTGCCACACGTGAAGGCAACATGCTCCATGTCATGATGGGGAGAAAAGTTTTCTCTGCAGAGTCTGGGCAAAAGCCCAGACTATCCTGAGAATGATTCATCTTCCAACGCAGTTTCCTTTTGGCTTCATGGCAGCGAGGACTTTCCTGAAAGCTAAAAAGGACATTGGCTTGGACTCTTGGGCCAAAAGGAAGGCACAACTTTGGGAGACTCACCCCAGGCCAAAACTGCCTCAGACTCAAAGCCTGGGAAGAGTGTCAGTGGAGCTGTGAGGCTGGAGTCTGTTGTCTCCAGGGAGGCTTCTCCACCAGACTTTTCCTTGTGTGTGGAGTAGATGTTATGGAGTGGCTGTCCTTCGCTTGGCCATCAACTTTGAGGGCAGCTACAGGGCCTGGTAGAAAGAGCTCAGACTTGAAGTGAGGATACTTAGTTTTGTTTGATTTAACCGAGTCATTTAAACTTTGAGTTCTGGGACTTCCCTGGTGGTTGACTGGTTAAGAATCTGCCTTAAAATGCAGGGGACATGGGTTTTGACCCTTGGTCGGGGAACCAAGATCCCACATGCCTTCATGCTGCAACAGAAGATCCCATATGATGCAACCAAGATCCCACATGCTGCAACTAAGACCCAATGCAACCAAATAGATAAATACTTAAAAAAAAAAAAAGATTTTGAGTTCCCTTTTCCTTTCCTCCAAGACTATGAGGTAGATATGATAATTCTCTGAGGTCCCTTTCTGCCATAAAATTTTGTGGCTTAATGAATCTCTGGTCTTAGATAAAACCTTGAATCTGTGTGTCCTGAACCGTGACTACAGACGTGGGTCATTAACTAATTGATTATTCCCCTTTGAGGAACACTGTAAAAGTGAAAGTCGGCTCAGCTGTGTCCGACTCTTTGCAACCCTGTGGACCATACAGTCCATGGAATTCTCCAGACCAGAATACTGGACTGGGTAGCCTTTCCCTTCTCCAGGGGATCTTCCCAATCCAGGTCTCCCAAATTGCAGGCAGATTCTTTACCAGCTGAGCCACAAGGGAAGCCCAAATGAACGCTATAAGGATTGATTATCTGCACTTTTTAAAGCAGCTATACGTCTTGAGTGAAAGCCTCAAAGAATATAGTACCTGCCATGCAAATTTAAGCAGTGACTGTTTTAAAGCTTTTGTTTTTCTTTGCACCATGCTGCAGGTCATGTCCAGTACAATTTTTGTTGGTGGACTAGGATATTAGAATTATTTTGATGTGATAGCTTGAGCCAGACCAGAGAAAGCACATTTCACAATAGTTCTGTATCATGAAAGCTCAAGCTGATTTTCACTGAATAGAAGTATCTCCTTGGTCTAAGAAATAATGATAATTTAGGGATGTTTGTACATTATTCATTAGTAGGGGGAATTAATTCGAGGAAAGTTATTGCATTATTGGGCTTGCATTTAATAAGTTAGAGTTATCCAAATGAAAATGATGATTACCAAACTAAAGCTGAAGTTTAAAGTCTACACAGAGAATAATTTTAACAGTATTTTTTTAAGCACTTTTGAAAAGCAGTATATTTTTCAAGTATACTTCAATATGAAAACAATGTAATTATATTTTTTAAAGTGCTTGGAAAAAATAGTCTTTTATATGACCAGGCCACTCCACTTCCTTTTTGATATTAATCCTCTAATAACCACAGAAAAATGAAAGAAGGATGTTTCATTTTAAGTAGAACCTACCTCCATAGAGATGGATATTCTCTAAAATCGGGATTTCTTTATTTTTGCTTCTTTCTCTTTTTTGAGGGGCTTGTAGCTTCTGGGATGTTAGTTCCCTGACCTGGGATCAAACCCAGGCCCTCGGCAGTGAGAGCCCAAGAGTCCTAACCACTGAACTACCAGCGAATCCCTTTTTCCTCCTTATTCTTAACTCTAAGGAAAATCATCTCAACTAAAACCCTTTAATTTTCAACACAATCATTTTGTTTGGCAAATGTGTTTGCCAAAATGCTTATTTTATGTAGCTATTGTAAAGTGTTGTCATGGGTTTAAGACAGTTTTGGTTTTTCTCACCTGACTGATACATGAATACTGGTCTGTCCTACAGTGGTGGATGATAGAGCCATGTATCCAAAATCGTGGGCTGTGTTCTTACCACGAGTGAGTAATAGTCGCTCAGTCCTGTCCAACTCTTTGCGACCCCGTGAACTGCAGCCTGCCAGGCTCCTCTTTCCATGGGATTCTCCAGGCGAGAATACTGGAGTGGGTTGCCATTTCCTTCTCCAGGGGATCTTCCCCACCTGGGATCCAACCTGGGTCTCCTGCATTGCAGGCAGAGTCTTTACCATCTGAGCCACCACGGAAGCCCCACATAGTCATAAACTCTTATGTAGTGGTTTAGTATAACAGAACCCCTGCAGTCTTCCCTTGGTATCCAGGGGCAATTGATTCCAGAACCCTGCTTTGGATACTAAAATCTGAGAATGCTCAAGTCTCTTACATAAAATGGCCCAGCACACTCCGCCCTCTGTATCCGGAAGCTTCTGCAGTTGGTTGAATCTGCAGATGGGGGACTTGTGGATGCAGAGCACTGACTGGATGTGGAGTCTTAGCTTCCCAGTGGTTTTCTGCTGGGATCATGTCACAGTGGCTGAGGTGTGGTGCCAGGCACAGACCTGGCCTCAGTCCTGACCCTGCCATTATCCGTGTGAGCCTTGAGTTCAATCATTTTATCCTTCAGACCTCAGCTGCCTTGTGGCTAAAACCAAGAGACTGAGCAAGAAACTCCCCAAAGTCCTTTCTAACTTTGCACACTCTAAATCTCAGTTGACAGCTCACCCAGAAACTAATAGCAACTTTGTATAACAGTGGGGTAAGTCTTGACCCAGTGGGGTTGGCTCCTCTCCCCAGCTAAGAGAATCTAATACAGTTCCTATTTTTAAATGACTGCTTTCTCGATGAAATAAAAAAAAATAAAATCTTAAATTCTCTTAAGTTAACTATAGGCAAGGGAATTAAGTCCAGTTTTTGAGATTCAGTTCAGTGTTTTATTATGCCAATGCTGTTTGTGTGTGCTGTCCTTTGTAATGTGTGTGTTAAGCTTAAAGACCTGTTTTCCTTGTGTGCTGTTTGAGAACCAAAATGCATGTCCTTTGTGTTTATTTTTTTCCTACCAGAGAGATGATGAGGATGGTGATGATATGGATAGTTATCAGGTATCACTGCTGCTATCAATCCTGTGGCATGGGGCACAGCTGCTGCTAATTGCCCGCATCCGCAAAGCCGAGGGCAGGGAGGAGGAAGGACCATAGAGCAAGAACATGCCGTTTTCACTCGCTTTTGATTTGCTTTCAGCATAATCAGGGACACAATCCTGTTGCTACAGATTTTCCCGTCAGTTTAAAATGTATACACAGATACTTCATTTTTGCTATGCCATGTCGAACTGCCAGCTTGTAAAGCCTTATCTAAGCAAGACCACTATCGCCGTATTAAATTGGTGATCTTAAGAATTGTAGTTATCCATCCATAATCTTTAAACAGACCTGTGTTTCCTATGCGAACCTGCAGTTAGCATCTTACACCCGAGCACGTCATATTGTTCTAACACGCCATTTGATTTTTTAAAGATTTTTGCCGGATAGGAAAACTGGAGACATTTTAAGCACATAGTTTTGTTTAGCCAGTTTTCTTTCTGTAAGGGCAACCTTAGTTATTCATAACCTGGAGAATTTAACTCTCAGCCTTAAATCTTTCTGGAAATGTAGAGGAAAAAGTACACAGGTGAAATCTTACTTAGTGCTGACCAGCCTGCAGTCAATGGGATGTGGGATTACAGTAATGGGCAAGGTGACAAACCAAGATGAAGTTTTCTAGGTTGGTTCCCCATCTCTCTACTGATTCTCTACATAAATGTCAAGAGCATGTTTTCTGGTGTGCCTTCCTCTTAAGTAAAGTGCAGGTCCATCATAGGGGACACCTCAGAAATCCTCAGGTGTCTGCTCATTAAGGACCATCTATGGGTTAGACCGGAATTAGGCAGTCAAAGCCTTCTGAATAGGGTTGGTAGGTGTCTTTTCTGCCTTGTAATTTTACTGAGAAAGAAAACAAACAAGTAAAAACAAACCTTAGGGTAAATACCAGTATCCCCTTGAATCTCAGCAACGCCATCAACTAACGTCCTGTGGCTGGCTGTGCACTTCCTGCCCCGTGGTTCAGAGTCAGGTCCAGCATCCGCTTCCAGGATTTCTCAGCATGGCTGACTGCATGTTGGCTTTTTGCATGGGGCATTTTTGGTTAGCCTCAAGGTAGCGGTTAGAGGTAAGATCTTTGCAGCAAGTGCAAGAGGTTCTCTGCTGATCTATTCTCTGCCTTTCAGAAAATACATGTTACCCAGCCATTGAGCTATGAATGGTGAAAATGTGATTCTCCATTCCATTTGCTGTTTTGGAATTGGGGGTCTGTTTCTGGTGCCCTTCCTCTTAGAATCACAAACCTCTTCAAATGAACAGCTACAACTTAAATACATAGACGCACATATTGGGTAACAGTCGGTGTTGTTGGAGCTTCTCCTGCTTTTAAGTATAATTATCCTTTCAGAAGTCCAGGGGCTCTGATTTTCTGAAAATCAGGATCCTCAATCAGCATGCAGGGTTCCTAAGGCTTCTGTGCTTTCTTGCATATTAATCACACGGCAACGTTTAATGGCCTTTTCTAATGAAAAGTTTCCTAATCAATTGAAACATCTTTTGTTAAAAAAAAAAAAGAAAGAGTTGTCTGTGCACTTTACAGGAAAATGTTTTCCCTTCCTGATGCCAGGAAGAAGACTTAAACTGCGTGAGAGAGAGGTGGTCGGATGCCCTCATTAAACGGCGAGAATACCTAGACGAACAGATTAAAAAAGTCAGCAACAAAAAAGGTACATGAGATGAAACTCTTGGCTGGGAGTTGCTTTTTCACTCTATAGTGGGGTTAGGCTGTTTTCCTCTCTTAGCTGCGCAACAGTATCTCAGATTTTTAACACTGTCACAATTATAGGTATTAGTGAACTGTTGTTGTGCAAGGTTGGTTTAAACAGGCCTTGAATTTGAAAGTAGTAAGTTTCATTACTTGGGTTGACTGTGACATTAAATGTTAAATGCAATTTTTGTTTTTGATGAATGCAAATGTTGTCAATATCAACATGTCCATATGAGGTATTCCAGGCTCAGATCCTGGGACTGACAACAGCGAAAGGGTCACTTCTGAACCCACGACACGTGGCAGGTGGGCCCCAGCTTCCACTGGCCGGTAACCATATGCCCGGCTTGTTGAGGGTGGCCAGAAGTCAGCCTGTGGCTCTGCTCACCACTACTGAATTTCGAGGATTCCATTTGCTTCCAATGGGAACAGCCATTTGGATTCTAGAGCAGAAATATGCTCTTAAAACGCCGGTTTCTCATCCAGATTGTGTGCTTCACTCACTGTGGTTGATTCTCCACCGCAGGACATGTCCTGAATGTGAGTCCACTTCACATAGAAGTCAGCGGGCGTCCTCTCTCAGGACAGCATCTTGGTGTCGGTTTTTATATGTGCTCAGCCTGCTAATGAAAGCCCACTTTGGTTTCCCTGGTGATCCAGTGGTTAAGAGTCTGCCTACCAATGCAGGGGACACCAGTTCAATCCCTAGTCCGGGAAGATCCCAAATACCGTGGAGCAGCTAAGCCCGTGTGCCACAAGTACGGAGCCTGAGCCCTAGAGCCCAGGAGCCGCAAGTCCTGCAACCCGTGCACCCCAGAACCTGTGCTCCACAGCAAGAGAAGCTGCTGCCAGAGAAGCCTGCTCCCCGCAACTAGAGCAAGCCCGAGCACAGCAGTGAAGACGCATCACAGCCAGACATAAATAAACTAATTAATTTTTTCAAAAAATAATAAAGCTCTGGGAGTTAGAGCTTCAACATATTTTTTAAAAAAACAAACTCACTCCAGAGTTAAATTAGGCTAAGAGGATTGCAAAATAGATCAAATAAAGTCCCTTGCATTGCAAGTATGAAGGAGAGTAAGTTCATTTTGCAGAGTGCAGGAGACCGTGTTTCATCCTCTGTAAAATGATGTGCGGTTTCATAAAGCAGTGCCCTGTCCGTTATTGCACTGGATCCTTCTGACCGGTGCATGAAGTAAACATGACTTGTAGGATCCCTATTTGACCAAGTAGGAAATGAAGACCCATCTGTGGAATAACTGTCCCAAATGACAGAGCTCTTGACAGGTCTTCTCATTCCTGTTGCACTGCTTTTTCTACTCTTCCTGGCTTAGGCTCTGCTAGGCAGTGTTCTAGCCTCCATGAGCTGCTCAGGCATAGACTTCAGAGCCTCAAATCCTTTTTTTGGGAGGTGGCGGTGGGGGGTACATCATGGATGGTTAAGCCACTCGTGGATACCACCCGGTGCAAACCGATTTAAATGTAGACATCATCCCTCCTCCCCCGTGGTGCTCATGCCCCCGTTTTGCCCGCAGAGAAGACGGAGGATGATGTGGAGCGGGAAGCCCGGCTGGTGGAGCAGTGGGTGGGGCTGACGGAGGAGAGGAACGCCGTGCTGGTGCCTGCGCCGGGCAGCGGGATCCCCGGGGCGCCTGCCGACTGGTGAGCCCCCTTTCCTTCTGCGGTGGCCTGGGGCAGGTCAGGCGAGTTACCTGCCGGGATTGTCACAGAAAATGTTAAGTGCTACAAGCTGCCCAGGGAAGGGCCGCCCGGCCCCAGTGCCCTGCCCTTGTCCTTGCCCACTGCAGCCACCATCCTCTCAGGAAGCCAGGGGTCATTATCGCTGGCCAGGGACCAGATACCACGCTCCTCAGTTCCCCGGGATGAGCACCTCGGACGCGACTTCCTGATCTCCAGAAATTCTTGTTGTTGTTCAGTCACTCAGTCATGTCTGACTCTGCGACCCCATGGACTGCAGCACGCCAGGCTTCCCATTCTTCACCATCTCCCAGAGCTTGCTCAAACTCATGTCTATTGAGTCAGTGATGCTATCCAGTCATCTTGTCCTCTGTCATCCCCTTCTCCTCCTCCTTCAATCTTTCCCAGTAGCAGGGTCTTTTGCAATGAGTCAGTTCTTCGCATTAGGTGGCAAAAGCATTGGAGCTTTAGCATCAGTCCTTCCAATGAATATTCAGGACAGATTTCCTTTAGGATAGACTGGTCGGATCTCCTTGCTGTCCAAGGAATCTCGAGAGTCTTCTCCAGCACCACAGTTCAAAAGCATCAATTCTTCGGCGTTCAGCCTTCTTTATGATCCAGCTCTCATATCCGTACATGATTACTGGAACAACCATAGCCTTGACTAGATGAACCTTTGTCAACAAAGTAATGTCTCTGCTTTTTAATACACTCTCTAGGTCTGTCTTAGCTTTTCCTCCAAGAAGCAAGTGTCTTGTAATTCCACAGCTGCAGTCAAGAAATTCTTATATCTTGACTTAAAAGAAGGGTGCTTCTGCAGCATACTTGAAAAGGGCAGAAATGTCTTCTTATTTGTCTTCATGCCTGTTTAGTTTGGTTACCAGCATAGAGTCAACACTTAAGCACTACATCAACAGTGATCCATCCATTGATTTTCAGTCAGTCCTGATGCTCAAAAGAAGCTAGGCAAATCAATCCAGCTTTCTGTACCACCTCTAAAATAGTCACTTCTCTTCTTCCCATCACTAGAATTATTCTCAGAAAGACTTCAAATAATCTTTGTTTCAATTAGTTACATGTAATTCATATAGCTGGTAGTTCTTTATAGAAATCACACAAATCCCATGATTTGTGTTAAATAAGAATGGTAAGAATTGGGAGAATGTTTCATTTGTAAGAGCTGTGTCTCTCTCCACAATAGTTCTCTTCTGCTTCCCTGCCTCTGTGATGTTTAGTTATTTAACAAGGGGCAAAACACGTATTTTGTTATGATGAAATATTGTTATTAAATCTAGGATCCCACCACCTGGAATGGAAACCCACATACCTGTTCTCTTCCTTGATTTGAACGGTAAGTAGACACCTGTTGTTCCAAGGCTTGTCACCCTGAATGAGGTTTGCAATCTAGTCAAACCCACAGCATTTTAGCCCTTAAATGACGTGTCTGATCACTCACATGCCTTATCGAGGTAACAACCAAATGTATAAAACCTGATATATAGAATCACTAAAAGACAGATGTAGAAATTTATTCTTCAAAAAAGAAGCACTTGAGAGATTGAGAACTGCATACAAAAACTGTAGTTCAGTTATTGCTCAGAAACGGTAACAGACATGGAAATTGCATGAGAAGGTCATCACCCGTAAAGTTCTAAATCCTTCTGTGTTGTGGGTGCTCAGGAAGCTGCATTTCTGACTGGTGCCCTTTGCTCCCCACCGCCAGTGGTGGTGTTTCTAGACCATGATGACTTGTAATCCTACCTGAAGGATCATCTGTTATTGTAGCAACTAGATTGAACCTGGGTGAACCCAGGACAAATGTCTTCAATGTGTTTTAGCAGCAAAATCTATTTTCAGTGTGAACTCGTAAATGGAACCCCATGTGTGGAATATGAGAGGAGAGCTGCTGAGTTTAGGGATGGGCAGGCCCTTCTGCAGGCCCCTTGGGATTCTCAAAGCACAGCCTAAAAACCTCTCTTCTGGAGGGAAGACCAGGAATAGATGAAGACATGGGAGGTTGACTTTGTCTCGTCATATGGGCAATTATTTTAAAAGCTTAGAAGTAGACTGTTACTTCATGAAGCAGTGAGTTCCCCATTATTGGAGGTTCCCCATTATACAAGTAAAGGCTGAATAACTATATCCAGAGATCTGTAAAGAGTGAATCCTACATTGGGTAGGGCATTGGAGAGGATGGTCTTCAAATTTCTCCCAAATGAACAGAACTTTGTTTCTAAGTTGGTAATTTAACCAATCAGATCTCTAATTTAGTGTAAGTTATATAAGTAGGACCATAAACTGAACACTAGGTTATAAGAGGAATTGGCATCAGAAGGCAGCACAATTATAAGGTGTGTTTATGTAGTGAAAATGTTTGCTCCCGGGAGTACATATGGAATATATTCAGTCCATTTTATAGGAGAGTTGCAAAGACATCTTTTTGGCTCCCAGAGTTGTTTCTGTAAAGGACAGAAGCTGTTGTGGACACTGGAATCATTGTTTTAACTGCAGAATAAGGGATGAAAAAGATAAATAAATTGCATTACCTATAAACTTCATCTGTAAAAAGCATATTTAAAATTTTGGGGTGCTTGCTTAAAAAATATCTGGTGTTTCCCCCACTTTTGTATCTGTGCCCTGGACTTCGTCAGCGGATGACCTCAGTGCCAATGAGCAGCTCGTGGGCCCCCACGCATCAGGCGTGAACTCCATCCTCCCCAAGGAGCACGGCAGCCAGTTTTTCTACCTGCCCATCATAAAGCACAGTGACGAGGAGGTAATGGGCCTTTAAGAGTCTCTTAAAAGGGCTTCAGGTTAATGCACATGCCTGTGGGCCTGTCTGCCCATTAAGCTGCTGTGGTCTGGGCTTTTGGGGAAGTGGACTAGGAACTTTAAAAAACAGAATAGATGTGTTATCCAAAAGGTGAGGGAAACCCATCTGAGATTCAGAGAGTTGAATGTGGTTTTCTAGCTCATGATGTAAAACTGCTACAGCTGAGCTGTCTTATTTCCATGTCCCCCTCCTTCCTGGGTCCCTAGGTTTCAGCCACAGCCTCCTGGGACTCCTCGGTGCATGATTCTGTTCACTTGAACAGGGTCACCCCACAGAATGAGAGGATCTACCTGATAGTGAAGACCACAGTCCAGCTCAGCCACCCGGCAGCTATGGAGCTGGTCTTACGAAAACGGATTGCAGCCAACATTTACAACAAACAGGTAGTAATGGGGCCTGATTCTGCCATTGCATGTTGTTGTTGTTGAGTCACTCAATCGTGTCCGACTCTTTGCGAGCCCATGGACTGTAGCCCGCCAGGCTCCTTCACCCATGGGATTTTCCAGGCGAGAATTACTGGAGGGGGTTGCCATTTCCTCTTCCAGGGGATCTTCCTGACCTGGGGATGGAGCAGCATCTCTTACGTCTCCTGCATTGAAGGCAGATTCTTTACTGATAGCTCCCTGGTAGCTCAGCTGGTAAAGAATCCGTCTGCAGTGCAGGAGGCCCCGGTTCGATTCCTGGGTTGGGAAGATCCACTGGAGAAGGGAAAGGCTACCCACTCCAGTATTCTTGGGATTCCCTGGTGGCTCAGCTCGTAAAGAAGCCGCCTGCAATGCGGGAAACCTGGGTTCAATCCCTGGGTTGGGAAGATCCCCTGGAGAAGGGAAAGGCTACCCACTCCAGTATTCTGACCTGGAGAATTCCATGGACGTATAGTCCACGGGGGTCACAAAGAGTCAGACACTACCGAGCGACTTTCACTTCACTTTACCACTCTCACCACCTTTATATGAGCACTAAGTTTCTTGCTTCTTGCTTTCACAAAGTGGTGTTTGGGGTGTTAATTCAGTGGTTGTGCAAATCGCTACCAGGTTATAATCTGATTCTCATTTATCTAAGATGACAGGGTCTGAGGATAGCAGAGCTAAATGTCATTCAGCAAAGAACTCTTCCACCTTGACCAATTTGAGACCCATAATCCTAGGAGGCAGTGAAGTTATGACATTTCTCTGTTTTAAAAAGGTTGAATGCCTGGCTCAAGTAGGTTAATGACAAAACCAGGACAAAGGCAGGCTGCATATAAGTCCATCTCCTAATGCCTCCCCAGATCTCATCTCAGAGGCACTGTCAGCAGAAAGGATGCTCTGAGCTGATTTCCGATGCTGCCAGGATGGAATGATTAAACCCTGACAGCATCAAGAAGAAAGATAGCAGATGGGATGGGAAAGAGAAGCAGTGAATCCCAGATTTCTCCTAAGAGAGAAATTTTTCCAAATGTACTTTTCCCCCTGGAGTAAAAGATTTTTTTTTCCTTGAAGAAATTGTACAGCTTAAAAATCACTTTCAGTTTTTTTTTTTTTTAAACAGTGGTAAAACTTTTGACAGGCAATATTAATTACATATGATGATGATGTATAGTATGTTAATGTATAATGTGGTCTACCAGGTGGCTCACTGGTAAAGAATTGGCCTGCCAGTGCAGGAGACATAGAAGACCTGGGTTCCATCCCTGGGTGGGCAAGATCCCCTGGAGTAGAAAATGGCAACCCACTACAGTATTCTTGCCTAGAGAATCCCATGGACAGAAGAGCCTAGCAGGCTAAAGTCCATTGGGTCACAAAGAGTCGGACACAACTGAGCAACTAAACATCCACACAGTAAAGAGAAGCAACCACAGAAAGCCCTGGATGGACTGCAGATTCTGTCATCTAATCCCCAAATTTAATAGCTGGATGTTACTGTCCTTCAGGATTAAGGACAAAGATTTTTCCATTCAGTGTTCTTCTGTTTTACTGTGTAGTGTGTGTGTATCAAAAACAGTCATTGGTTTTTTTTATAATTTATAAAATACTAAATAGCTTATATTTTCCGCATTGCTTAATTTAGCTTTCCTTTTCTACCAGAGTTTCACCCAGAGTTTGAAGAGGAGAATATCACTGAAGAATATATTTTATTCCTGTGGTGTAACCTATGAAATAGTATCCAACATACCAAAGGTAAAAAGCATGTGTTACTTTTTTGAAATGTCAGAATCTGAGTATTGGAGAACGAGTTAGGTCTCAAAACTTTTAAACCATTTTCTCACCACAATTTTGAGAGAAATATTGTTCACGTAACAGTAATCTAAGTGCCTGCTTGTCTCCTTAGGCAACAGAGGAGATTGAGGACCGGGAGACACTGGCTCTCATGGCCGCGAGGAGTGAAAATGAAGGCACGTCGGATGGGGAGACGTACATCGAGAAGTACACTCGAGGCGTGCTGCAGGTGGAGAACATTCTGAGCCTGGAACGACTCCGGCAGGCAAGTGACTGCAGGGTCTGAACTGGAGGGTGGGATCGCCAGCAAGTGAAAACTGAAAGTGGTAGATGCTCAGTCGTGTCCGACTCTTTGCGACCCCATGGACTGTAGCCCACCAGGCTCCTCTGTCCATGGGATTCTCCAGACAAGAATACTGGAGTGGGTTGCCATGCCCTCCTCCAGGGGACCTTCCTGACCCCAGGGATCGAACCCTGGTCTCCTGCATTGCAGGCAGATTCTGTACCATCTGAGAGATCACTAGCCTTCACCCCAAATGGATAAAGATGAACTTATTTACCAACACACCTTCTCTCTCAACCCATGAGAGAAGGAAGACTTGAGTAGCCATCTCATTAGACAAAACAGTTACTTTGACAAAAGAGTGACACAATTCCGATGAGTGCATTTTATTGAACCCCTCCTAGGAAAACCCCATTATTTCATCTTCAAGATGGATGATTGTGGGAGTTGGACAACAGTGTGAATGTACTTTTTGCCACTGAACTGTACAGTTAAATATGGGTAAAATAGTATGTTTTACATTATGCGACTTTAACCACCATAAAAAATTTAAAAAAATAAATAAATAACCCTGCGAGGTAGATACTGTCATCAGTTCCACTTGTAAATGAAAACATTGAGGCTGACAGGAGTTAGCCACCCCGCCCAAGGGCACCCAGCTAAGAATCGGTACAAAGTCAGATATAAACCCAGAACGCTTGACTCTGAAGTCCACACCCTTAACCGCATAATCTGTCTATCCCTAGTTTTTGGACCAAGCTTAACCTCTGTGGCAAGATACTGCCAGGTGAAAATAATCCACTAGGTCATGACACTCCAGAAGAGGTGTCACTCGATAGAGGCAGTAGAAGTTATGAAAAGTGTGCTTTGACCAAAAAAAGGACCAAGATTGGCATCTGTCAGAAAAATCTTCCTTTAGTGGAAGTCCCACCCAAACTGTGGCAGAGTGAAACACAAAAGCATAAAAGTTGATTGTAATTTCACAAGTGACATGTATCGTTAGTGATATTTCATCCGTGTTTTCTCTACCCACCTATATGTAAATCTGCAGCATAAAATACCTTTAGTTCATCAGTCTTCCTGGTTTTATTTATGAAAAAATATTTTTCATAAATTAAGCAAAAAAAAATTAGTGAAAACAATAAGATCCAGTTTTGTAAACACAGGGTGGGGATGGCTTGTAGTGTAGGCTTGAAATGACGTTTATTTCTATACTTTTGAAATCTTTCACAATAAACATATATTCCTTTTGTCATCAGAGGAAGAAAAATCAATGTCATTTTCAAATTTGCAGGCAGTCACGGTCAAAGAAGCGCTTTCCACCAAAGCTCGGCACCTGCGGCGAAGCCTCAGCACGCCCAACGTTCACAATGTGAGCTCACCTGCGGCGGGGCTGTCTCATCCAAGTGACTCATCTCAGGGTTTGGGGTGCCGCAAGTCAGGGGAACCAGGTCAGGGTTTATCGGCGGGGAGAATTACATTTGGCCCAGGGTGTCAAGCCTGCGCCTCTGCTCTAGAGATGCCCACCAGAGAGCCATTACAACTAACAGGACTGAGGGGGGTGTGTGTGTGTGTGTTGCTCAGTTATGTCTGACTGTTTTGCGACCCCATGGACTGTAGCCCACCAGGCTCCACTGTCCATGGGAATTCTCCAGACAAGAATGCTGGAGCGAGTTGCCATTCCCTTCTCCAGGGGATCTTCCCAACCCCAGGGATCCAACCCAGGTTTCCCGCATTGCAAGCAGATTCTTTACCATCTGAGCCACCAGGGAAACCCCAAGCTTTTAGTGGAATCTTGCAAATTTCTCTACGTAGAGTTGCATATCCTTGGAAGAAGTTTCTTGGGATGTGACTTGCATGTTGGTTTAAAGATGGTGGGGTCAGAGGTCCTGTGCCAGCGCTTCTGAGTCCTGCTCTCCAGTCTGTGCCTGCTTCTAGCTGCCCCAAGGATCTCACTGTCGGTGTGATAGAGCGCCAGGCACCTCCATGTAGACCCTCCCATGGTGCCTGCTGTTTAGGTTGATGACCTTCCTCAACAAACCATTTCAGCGAGGAAACCCAGTTGACAGACACTGTGTCTAGTGGAAGGCAACACTGTCACAGGAAGAAAGGACAGAGGAGTGCGTGGACCACTTCAAAGTAGCCTCTTTCTGGAAGCAGCAGAGTGAAAGACAGATCCTTTCAAGGAAAACTACGATTTGCTTTCCTATTCTCAAGAATTGCCAGATAATGGTTACAAACATGATGAACATTTATTTAATATTTTTTGATCCTGCATGACATGTAGGATCTTAGTTTCCTGACTAGTGATTGAACCTGTGCCCTTGCATTGGCAGCTTGGAGTCTTAACCACTGAACCTCCAGGGAAGTCCCCTTGGTGAACATTCATGAAACTTGTCTTACAGAAGTCCGAAAAGCAAATCCCTATAATCACTTTCACACAGATCACTTTTTCTGACCACATTTCAGTTCTTTTAATTGATGAGACTCATAAAGTTGTGAATTGGGGGGGGGCGGGTGTGGACACAGTTTCTAATTAATTTAGGCATCAAAGAAGAGATCATAATGGAAATTAGGATGTATTTAGAACTGAATGATTTTTAAAAAAATGATACATATACCAATACTTGAGGGATGCAGTTAAAGAGGGAGTTCCTTAGCCCTGCTGCTGCTGCTAAGTCGCTTCAGTCGTGTCCGACTCAGTGTGACCCCATAGATGGCAGCCCACCTGACTCCTCTGTCCCTGGGATTCTCCAGGCAAGAATACTGGGGTGGGTTGCCATTTCCTTCTCTATCTTTAGCCCTAATTTTCCTGTTACTTCGTTTGTACTGCAGAATGCTAGATGGTAGAGAAAATGAAAGCACTAGAGCTGTTGTTGGGGATAAAAAAGGAAAACTCATAAATTAAAAAAGACTTATGATATGTATCATCCAGTTGCAATGGATGATCTGCTTTGATCCTGACTCAGAATTAGCTGTGATAGTGTTTATAGACATTTAACCACTGGGATATCTGATACTATTTCAGTTCAGTTCAGTCGCTCAGTTGTGTCCGACTCTGTGCGACCCCATGAACCGCAGCACGCTAGGCCTCCCTGTCCATCACCAACTGCCGGAGTCTACCCAAACCCATGTCTATTGAGTCTGTGATGCCATCCAACCATTTCCTCCTCTGTCATCCCCTTCTCCTCCTGTCCTCAATCCTTCCCAGCATCAGGATCTTTTCCAATGAGTCAGCTCTTCGCATGAGAAGGCCAAAGTATTGGAGTTTCAGCTTCAACATCAGTCCTTCCAGTGAACACCCAAGACTGATCTCCTTTAGGATGGACTGGTTGGATCTCCTTGCAGTCCAAGGGACTCTCAAGAGTCCTCTCCAACACCACAGTTCAAAAGCATCAATTCTTCGGCACTCAGCTTTCTTTATAGTCCAACTCTCACATCCATACATGACTACTGGAAAAACCATAGCCTTGACTAGACAGACCTTTGCTGACAAAGTAGTGTCTCTGCTTTTTAATATGCTGTCTAGGTTGGTCATGACTTTCCTTCCAAGGAGTAAGGGTCTTTTAATTTCATGGCTTGAAATCACCATCTGCAGTGATTTTGGATCCCCCAAAAATAAAGTCTGCCACTGTTTCCACTGTTTCCCCATCTATTTGCCATGAAGTTGTGGGACCGAGAGTTCCTTGGACTGCAAAGAGATCCAAACCAGTCCATCCTAAAGGAGATCAGTTCTGGGTGTTCACTGGAAGGACTGATGCTGAAGCTGAAACTCTAGTACTTTGGCCACCTCATGTGAAAAGCTGACTCACTGGAAAAGACCCTGATGCTGGGAGGGATTGGGGGCAGGAGGAGAAGGGGATGACGGAGGATGAGATGGCTGGATGCCATCACCGACTCAATGGACATGGGTTTGAGTAAACACTGGGAGTTGGTGATGGACAGGGAGGCTTGGCATGCTGCAATTCATGGGGTCGCAAAGAGTCGGACATGACTGAGCGACTGAACTGAACCGAACTGAACTGAACTGATGGACCGGATGCCATGATCTTAGTTTTCTGAATGTTGAGCTTTAAGCCAACTTTTTCACTCTCCTCTTTCACTTTCATCAAGAGGCTCTTTAGTTCTTCATTTTCTGCCATAAGGGTGGTGTCATCTGCATATCTGAGGTTACTGTTATTTCTCCTGGCAATCTTGATTCCAGCTGATACTATTTAGGAATTGCTTCATCTTTTAAGATGCAATAATGATATTATGGTTTTACAAGAGAATAGGAATTCCTTATCTTTTAGAGAGTCATAGACAAATATTTATGGATAAAAAATTTTAAGTTAGAAAAAGAAAATATGAATACTTTTTTAAAGGTAATGATAAATATTACAGCACAATTATGATAAATTCAGATAAATAAGGAAATAATAAATGTTAGGAGAAAGAATGAGGAGAAGGAGAAGGTCATACAACCTTCAACTGTATGTGTGATATTTTATCTAATTAGTTATGTTAAATGTATAAACCACACTGATGAAACCATTCATCTCTTGCAGGTCTCTTCCAGTCGACCAGACCTTTCTGGCTTTGACGATGATGATAAGGTGTGTGCCTGTGGGCATGGCCAGGTTATTAGTGGGATCTAAGTCTGGAAATTTAGTTTATTTTGGTGTTTTTAAAATCTCTGAACTTCCCACCTTAACCTGATGCAGATCATTGTCTCCACGTGTCCATTCCCAAGTTCAAGTACTTGATGTGAAATTGCTATGCCCTCTGAGTATTACATTGTTACTTAGCATGATACATTCCATATCAGGATCATTGCATACATAATCAAATAAATATGTGTTTATGGGTCTAACTCTAAATGACTACATCCACCATAGCAAAATCAAAATTATTTCAAATGGGGAAAATTAGGAACTTGAAATTAAGGATATTGTACAGCATTATCTTATTCATATGTAAGTTATTATTCTGGGGACTATAGATGATTCAGAAAATATCAAAACAGATTATGCCTTCAAGCATTTTAAAATCTAGTCCTTAGAGATGACATTTCCTGAGAAGCTGAAATAAGGTTAGTTAAGTGTATGATAAAAAGGAGGTTTCCCCCTTTAGTATATCAATATCTTTGCCGGCTTGGAAAGTTTTACATATCACGTATATATAGAGTAACCATACCACCTAATTTGCCTGGGGCAGTCCAAGCTTATGCCAGGCTACCTAGGAAAAATTATCAATGGAAATGTTTCACTTTCAAGTGTTGTAGGTTGATCTTTAAATTATCTGGTCATCTTAGGTACATAACAAATTTATAAAAGTGGAGCTTTAATGAGTCCTGTAGGGGTCCAAAAGAGGATTTCACTATATCTGTAATGATTTTATTAAATCTTGAACAAATAGAATAAACTACCAACATTTCTTCACTCTGGGTATAACCTTGGTTATGATAACACTGGTCATATTGTCCAGTATTTTTCTACATGTTAGATCTATTTTGTAATTTAAAAAAAGAGCACATACTGCCATAAAAAGAAATAGGAAAAAACTCCAATCAGGAGTTTTCTCATATTAGAGGAATGTAATTACACTTAACCCGTGTTTCTACCTTGTAGGGTTGGCCAGAGAGCCAGTTAGACATGTCTGACTACAGCCCGAGTTACCAGGATGTATCGTGTTATGGAACTTTGCCTAGGGATTCACCTCGAAGGAGTAAAGAAGGTAGGGTAAGATATTTTTTTCTGTGTTATCTCTCTATAATTTCTTAGGAAAGGCGTGGGGGGAAATTCTTTTCTAGATGGCATTTAATAAGACAGAAAGCTGAAATTCTAGTTTGCTAGATGATCCAAAAAGTGTCTTCTTGAATAGAACATATCCTGCTCACTTATGTAATTTTCTTTTCTTTGTATCCATTATATCATCCAATTAATAATAGGCTTTTTGTGTAGCACTTGTAATTTTCAAATCACATTTCATATATCATTTCCTGATTTTGAAATCAGTTTTGAGACACATACAAATCTTATTATTACATTATGGTTAGAGTTCGTTCTTTACCAAAAGCATATCCACCTCCATCATGGTTTTGTGCTCAAATCAAAGTATGTTTTTACAAAAATATGTCTCTGACTCCTAAGGAAATTTAAAAAAATGATACCAGAAATGAATTTGGTCAGTGACAACATTATTGCCTAAATATGTAATTTCCTAGTGCCCTGAAAGGAATAGCATTCTTAGAATTTTTCAATCAGCTCTGTTACCTTACCTACGCCTTATATTTTACCTACTATGTTCCTTTGTACCAGTGAATTGAAGAGAAAAATATAGAAGGAGAAATAGAGACCCCAAAAAGTAAAAAATGAGTAAAAGCAAGAAAAAAGGAATTGTCCTTCCGTAGTCATATGGAGCAAGGTGGCTTGAGGGAACAGTGGCTTACGAGAGAACTCACATAGTACTCGGTTACTGAGTTAAGATTGAGCCTCTCCTTGCCTTATGCAGGGACAGAAACCAAAAGATGCCAAGATCTTAAAATCCAGCTGTGAAAATGAGATATGTAGAAAATAAGCCAGTAAATCAGAAAGTGCCAAAATGCATTTACAGATAATACGGGCTCTGAGAATTCAAAGAAATAGAAAATCAGCGTGAGTTGAAATTGGTCTGTGAAGTGATGCTCAAGCTGCATCTTGACAAGAAGGTAGAAAATTTGGTTTCTGATTTCTTTGCTGCTGTCCAGGCCTTCGATGATTCTCTTTAACTTTGTAGATTCATCTCCATTCTTGCCGACCTATTTTAATGCTCAACCAAATACAGCCATCAGTCAGTATCTGAGGGCCACTGGTTCCCAGAGCCCTTGCGTACAAGTCCCATAGTCAGTCCTCCGTAATCCTCGGAGGCAAAACCCTGAGGCTACTGAGGGCCAACTGTACATTTAATGAAAAAAAAATCCATGTGTGAGTGGACCCATGCAGTTCAGACGCGCGATGTTCAAGGTCAGCAGTATTCACACACTGATTCTTTTGTTCTGCCAGATATCCCTTCTGGCCCCGTCCCTGCCTCGCTCCCTGTGGGTTGGTTAAAGTGCTGTGTGCCTGTAAACCCGTGCCTTTTGTCTTCCCCAGGTTGTACATCAGAGAATCCTCATGCCTTAACAGTCAGCCCTTTCAAAGCATTCTCTCCTCAGCCACCAAAGTTTTTCAAGCCCCTAATGCCTGTAAAAGAGGAGCATAAGAAAAGGATAGCACTTGAAGCAAGGCCTCTTCTAAGCCAGGAGGTAAATGCTTGACTTGTCTGTACTGTGTACAATAGAATGGACGCTCTGTGCCCCTGCAGAAGTAATGCTTTGCATTAACACAGTCAGATGCCGCAGGTTGGCATGTATGGGTTATCACCCGTGGATCCTGTTCAGAAATAAATAACCTCTTTCTCAAGCACACAGGGTCATGGTAGAATTTCTTGCTTGTTGTTATTGCTGTTATGTTCCTTGTGCTTATGGCTTTTTTCAGAGTATTTCAAATGAGAAAGAGATGTTCCCTCGGTGTTTTGCAGATAGAAAAGACTTTTTTTTTTAATGTGATAAATTCAGTTACACTGTTTGCATAGAATCTGTGTAGTCTTGGGAGATTTTCATCAGTAGCTGAACTCAAGCCTACAGAACTGTTGGCTGCACTAACACGTAATACAAGTGTTTGTGTTGCTTTTCTAACGTGCACGTACGTACTTAAGGTGTGTCTCGGCCATGGCCGTCTCCTGTGTGATGCATCTGTGTGTCTTAACCTTTGCAGAGCATGTCTCCACCTCAGGCACATAATCCTGGCTGCATTGTGCCCTCGGGAAGCGATGGCAGCCGCATGCCAGTAGAACTCAATAGCAAACGTGAGAAGAAGATTGTAAGTCCTGGAACCATTTCTGTCCTATTGCCTGGTGGTGGGTTTAAGGCCCTTTCACAGACAATCATCCAAATACTTTAGAAGAAATTAAGAGATGTATTGAGTCTTGGCTTTTTTTTTTTCTTCTGACACATGTGACCATCAGTAATGAAATTTTGCATGAATGTGGCCGTGACCTGTGATTTTTCTGTGTTCCATTTACTGATTTATTATTATTTTGCTTAGTATAAATTTGCTTAGAAAGAAAAAGGCACCTTTCATGACTCTAGTCTTTCAAATGTGTAACAATCACTTGAACTAATATTGAATCTTTCTAATGAACCTGTACATGTTGCCCAGATTCTGAAGTTAATCTACCTTGAGGAATTGCACTTACTTGGAGTAAGTAATCATGCATTTAGGTGCGGGTGTGTGATAGCTTTTCTTGTGTTGCCTGATGCTGTTGCCAAGATTATCCTGTAGTTTGTTGCTGCTCCGCCATCCATCACCGGCCATCCCCGTTATCTGGATCTCTCAGGTAGCCTCTTTACATTCGCTGGCAAAATAGATTCCAGCTCCCTTGGTGTCAGTCTTGCTTTCAGGATGGCTTCTCTGTATTTTACCATGGGTAGGTTGAAACTCTACCTTAAAAACCTCATTCCCTAGCACTTGGTTTTCACATTTCAAATTTGAGAAATGTTTTTTAGAACACGACATACTAGGCACTGGGGATCATAAGTGCCACCTCAATTTAAAAACAGAAGTGTGTGCTCTGGGGCATGGAGAGAATTCTCAAATTCTATGTCTCGGCTTTCGTACTCCTGTGGTTCCCCAGGCTTCGAAAATGGGAGGCAGCTTGGAGCAGGAGGGGTCTGCTTGCTGCTCTCGTCTGCATGCAGTCAGTTCTGCGGGCAGAGCGTGGGCCCTTGCCTTCCCCAGCTACCCCATGTCAGACTGTCATCAGTGCGGGGTCTTTTGTTTGAACCTCTAGATTCTAGAAGATGCTGCTGATGCACACGGTGTGATGCTAACTAGAACCTCCCCCTGGATGTGCAGCAAGCCAGGCTCCTGCATGCTTGGAGCGCTCGGGGATCATAAGAAATGAGCTGCTCATTCTGCCTGTCCATTGAGGAAAGAAGGAAAGGCACCATTGTCCCCTTCCGTCTCTCTCTCTCTCTTCCCCACTTTGTGCTCTCTCTAGTCCCCTCCCTAATCCCTGCTGGAGAAGAGGTTGCACACCAACAGCTGCTCCGCGTCTCCCCCAAAGTTAGCGAGCTCTCCAGTCACACACTCGACTCCCCCTGCTTAACTGCTAAGGGCTGCAGCCTGGGCCAAAGAGTGTGTGTGCGCGCGTGTAGTCGCTCAGTCGTGTCTGACTCGGCTACCCCCTGGACTGTAGCCCGACAGGCTTCTCTGCCCATGGGATTCTCCAGGCAAGAATACCGGAGCGGGTTGCCATTTCCATCTCCAGGGGATCTTCCCGACCCAGGGATCAAACCTGCATCTCCTGCATTGGCAGGTGGATTCTTTACCACTGTGCCACCTGGGAGGGCCCAGGTTAAAGGAGCCAGGGTCTAATTTTGTTACGGCTTCAGTTCTCTGGCTGGCTGGCTATCTGTTTATTGACCTGGCACCCACCTACACAGTGCATGGGTACTACATTGTAACCTATCTGAACCATACGTTTTGGTAGAACACACCATCAAGAAATTGCTGGATGGCCCTTCAGGGCTGCCCCGCAGATAGTCTCACAGTTCACAATCTGCTTCGTAGTTATTTTCTTCACTTTCCTTTAATTATTTTAAAATAAAACCCATCTCAGGACTGTTAGCTAGCAGAGAGTAGGATAGAACTAGATTCTCTTGATCCAAGAAGTTCTGAGCAGCAGTTAGATTCTCTGTGATCAGACACACCGTGAAACCCACTAATCAGGGTTTGATGGAGCCATTTTTCTTGCTGAGGTCTTACTTGAGAGACTTGCATCTACTTTCTTAGAAATCTGGCTCACTGCAGACTTTTCATCTCTGAAACTATTGAACCATTTGATTTATTTCAGATAGCAGCTTTTCCAGGATGTTTCGGTAGATTTTAAGGGTATTACTTGCTTGAACTGAGGTTCTAGTTTCTGTTTGGGAAGCTTTCATTTTATTTCTCCTCTTATAAGTGGATATAAACTGATTTATTCTTGAGTTCCTATTCACTTTCTTTCCTTTTCCACTCTTGGAAAAATAGAAGGCAAATCAGTGGTTCAGTCTGATCAAAGGAGTTTGAAATCATGTTGAGAAGCAATATGGGGACATTGTTTCTTTTATTTTTCAGCCCATCCAATTACCAAAGTAACCTGTCATTTCACATAAAATATAGTAAATATAGCTGTGCTTGATTCTTCAAGCAATATTTTGTTGTCTCATCCAATTTGGGAAGATAGACAAATGTACGTTGTGCCTTCCATGACTAAGATAAAAGTAACAGGATGTCTTTGCAGTCTCTCTTTTAAAGTCATGAAGCAGACAGAAGAGCAGAAAGAAAGTCAATTCTCCCTCTCTTGAATCCTGCACAGACAGCATATGGTTTTTGTCTCTCATCTTACAGAGGAAGAAACGCGAGACTTGTTGAGTGATTTGCCCAAGGTCTCACAGTAAACGAGAACATGGGAACAAAAGCCCCATCCATCAGTAGAATGGGCTGACACCCCAGTGACTCCCGGGGCTCCCAGTCACAGGGCAGTTTCATCACCCTGCTGCTGCTGTTTCTTCAAAGGGTCCACCCTCCCCGTAGTACCATGGACAGAAGTACTAGGGACCCTTGACTGATGGAGTCTTTCTGAAAACAGAGACCATCAGGTAGATAACTGATGAGAATGGGAGTGCAAATGACTTTCATCAGGGAAAGTCCTTACAGAAGGTCACTGCTTTAATGTGAGTTTTGATTCTCCTTAAAATCAAGGTGTTTCCTCTAGAGGTAAATATCAGCTGCATAAACTGAATCTCAAAAAATCAACTCATGAACATAATAGCTTCAGAGAAGCAGGAGAACTTGACTCTTGAGTCCTACTTTTAGGACGAGTTTTCACTCTGTCCTTAAGACATAGTAGGGAGGTGCTTAGTTTAGTCTCCTTTAAGGTAAATGATAAATAATATCTCTAGCATAAAATGTTTCTAATATGTAAAATGGATAAACAACAAGGTCCTACTATATAGCACAGGGAATATATTCAGTACCTTGTAATAACCTATCATAGAAAAGAATATAAAAAAGAATGTGTGTGTGTATATATATATATATATATATATATATATGTATAACTGATTCACTCTGTTGTACAACAGAAACTACCACAACATTGTAAATCAACTATGCTTCCATTTAAAATTTAATAAAATATACAGAGTGAAGAGATCCTGCCAAAAAGAAAAAGTCTGTCTAACCAAATTCCTTTAAAATTCAGTTTAAGCCACTTGAGTCCTCTTTTCTCCTTGCAAACCATAACTCCATAAACTTTCTGTTTCCCTTTACATGTTGGAAAATGATTAGCCTCTACTCAGTTTTATTTTTTCTGGAACTAGTTGTTCCTATTCCTTTAGCCTTTCTCTTTAGGTCACTCCCAGCCCCACCCCAGGTGCCTCACTTTGTCCTGATCCCTATTTGTTTTTGTAGACCCTTCAGTCTTACTAAAGTCATTCTGAATTGTTTATCTTTCTGATTTTAATATATGTATACCTATTTCTACACATTAAATTTGTGATTGAATGTTTCACTCTGCAAAGTTATATTTTAGGTTGACCTTTCCTCGGTGTTCAGAAGAAATAGCTGCAAGCATTAAAAGGGACCCAGAATATTTAATTCTCATCTTCAAATTTGGTTTTCTTCCAACAACTAACTTTTTAGTAATCAATTGCGTCATGTACTCTTGGGCTTGGGGATTACGCTTCTTTGCCAGCTTCAATTAGAAGGAATTATAAGAGAAACAAACACTTGAAATCCAATTTGGAATCTGAACAAGTCTAGCAGTGTGTGTGCTAAGTTGCTCAGTCGTGTCCGACTCTTTGTGGCCCCATGGACTGTAGCCCTCCAGGCTCCTCTGTCCGTGGGATTTTCCAGGCAAGAATACCAGAGTGGGTTGCCATTTCCTACCCCAGAGTATCTTCCCAACCCAGGGATGGAACCCTCATCCCTTGTATCTCTTGCATTAACAGGCGGATTCTTTACCACTGGGAATCAAGTCGAGTAGAGAATCTAGAAAATAGAGCGAAGGTTACAGATGCAGACAGTTCTGTCCAATTTGTGCCCCTTTTTACAAACGTTTTCCCCAGCCCCTGGGGAGAGCACTCTCTACCCCACCCCCATTGAAACAGTGCTGTTAATACTTGATTAAAATATAGTTAAAGATAAGAAAGCAAGGTCAGTATTGCCAAAAATTTGGTTTGCTAATTTCTGGAATTTTATCACTGATATTTAATAGTCACCTCTGATTTAACAGTCAAGGAATGAAAACTAATGATACTTTTAAATCATTTATATTCAGACTGTTTTAAAATCTTAAGAAACATTAAAACACAGCAAGCTATTTTTTAGGTATTTAGCATCTTGTGAGATAGGGAGTGTTGCTGTGAAATTCAGTGGATGAAATTTATGTTCATTTGTGAATTCCATTTACTGTTTGTGTGGAGTGTGTTCTTCCTTCCCTCCCCATCCTTCTCTCTCCCCAACCTCTTCGCTCTCTTGAAATGAATAAGGGTAATGTTTTCAGGTCTTTACAGTCACCCTGTTGTTTTACTGAGTGAAAGGTCATCCACCCAGCAGTGTCCAGGGATGTCCTAAGAGCAAGGCCCCACTGTTGTAACTCCCCGAGGGCAGGGGCCATACCTGTCTTTGCTCAGCATTGGATTCCTGGTTCTTTGGACAATGACTGGCACGTAGAGGATGCTTAATGAATATTTGTTGAACGAAAGTCACATTTTAGAAGAGAAACGGAATACTTGCTGTGTCTTCAGATGTTTACAAGGCTAATTAGAAATGACTGGATAGTAACAGGCAAAAGGAGAAGATGGCGACAGAGGAGGAGATGCTTAAATGGCATCACTGACTCAATGGATGTGAACTTGAGCAAACTCCGGGAGATAGAAAAGGGAAGCCTGACATGCTGCATGCAGTCCATGGGGTCACAAAGAGTTGGACACGACTTAGCAACTGAACAAGAAGATAACACTATTATTTTTTATTTGAAAAGTGTCCTACATTGTTTTCCACCAAATATAAAAGAATCATTCACTTGGGAAAAGAGAGTGGAAGTTGATAATACCTACTCTTGCATATTTACCAACCTTTATAAACAGAATCCTAAAGCTGTTTGACAAAGGAGATTTTCATGTAATTCATACTGTCTTCCTCACCTTGTAGTCAGAGGCTTTATCTCTGCTTCTCAAAAACCCTGGAATAATAGTCATTGCCAGATTTAGTATTTTACACACAGTGTTTGGTGGAATACTGAGAATGGCTATTGAAATTGTTGTTCTTTGCCCTTTTGCCATTGTGGGGGCCTTTATTTCCTGCTTTTCCTTCTCATAGAAACTGTTTGCAAATCATCTTATTTTTCTGTACTCTGCTCCCCGAGGTGAGGATTGTGAGAATAAAACAGCAGCTCTTCCCAGCCTCTGCAGTCCCTCTGCTCATTTAATTAGAAAAGGGAAAACCTCCAACTGGAAACTAATCATGAGGAACTAATCAAAAGGCCACTGCACTTCCTTCCATCCTTGCCCTTAAAGCAGGAAATGTTTCTAATTATTAGCACTGAGTGAGCACCGAAGAAATAAACCTCCTGCATCTTGAATGGTAAGAGTTTCATGCTCATAGATCTCTGAGGATAAGGTACCTGTGTCCACAAACAGGTGACAGGATTTAACCAAACCCAGGAAGGAAAAAGAAAAATTCCTAAAGGTGTGAAGGCCAATGGCTTTAACAGTAAAGTATTTGAAACTTGTCTCAACCATCCAGTCGCTATGAGGAGCTCATGGCTGACTTTTGCTTTGTTTCCATAGGACTCTGAAGAGGAGGAAAACGATCTAGAAGGTCTCAGCCGGAAGCTGATAAGTTCACAGCCTTATGTACCTGTGGAGTTCGCTGACTTCAGCGTTTACAATGCCAGCTTGGAGAACAGGGAGTGGTTTTCTTCTAAGGGCGATCTGACGAACTCAAAGGCCCTAGAGAAGGAGGTGTCCCGCAGCCCCACCACCAGCAGCATCACCAGCGGCTACTTCTCCCACAGTGCCTCCAACGCCACCCTGTCCGACATGGCGGTCCCTTCCAGTGACAGCTCAGATCAGCTGGCCCTTCCGCCGAAGGACACAGACTCCAGCGAGCATCCCGGACCGTCCCTCGTGCAGGATTTCAGACCATCCTCACACAAGGAGTTGACAGAACTAGAAAGAGGCTTGGGAAAGGAAAAGATGACCGAGGTGCCACTCAAGGGAAACAGTGCCTTAGCCAAAGGGAGCCCATTGCCCCCCAGCATCCCGGAGAAAAACTCCAGAACCCTCTGGAGGACCAGCTCGTGTTCAGAGCAGGATGTCTGCTCCAGCAGAAACGGCCAGCCTGCCAGGGAGTTCTGCCCCAGGGAGGTGACCGTGGAACACACCACAAACATCCTCGAGGATCACTCTTTCACAGAGTTTATGGGTGTGTCAGATGGGAAAGATTTTGATGGCTTGACAGATTCTTCTGCTGGAGAACTTTCAAGTAGGAGGAACCTACCAAATACAACAGACAGCAGGAGTGTCTCACATGGGCCACAGGACCCTGGCCAGCTGTGTTCCTCGGCAGAGAATGACCAGGTGATACATTCCAGGGGTGGTCCTTTGGGTCCCGTGGTATCAGTGATGGCCACTCATTATGCCCCAACCCCCAGAGGCCCTTCCTCACGGTGACTTAGTAGGAGAGATTCATCCAGGTGTTTCTGACAGGGTCCGTGAACCCTCCTGAACCATGCTCACATGCTGCCCAGCTAGCTGGCTATGGGGGAACACATCTGTAAGTCTACTTTCTTAGTTTCAGAGGGGAACTATGACTCACATAGGACCCATGGCTTTTTTACCTGACATATAGGTTCCTGTTGAATTAATCATTCACATGGATAAGGATCGATCTCATATTCATTCCCTGAGATGTTTAATTCCTGGCTATCTCAAAGGATTCTGATATGAAATGTGGTAGATTTCATCAAATCAGTGATTTCTTTTATTAGATACACCTTTTTTTTTTTTTTTGCCAAACCGTGAGACATGTGGTATCTTAGCTTCCCAACCAGGGATCGAACCCATGCCCCCTGCATTGGAAGTACAGAGTCTTAAACCACTGGACTGCCAGGGAAGTCCCAAGATACACCATTATTTTATGTATCATTGAGAAAAAAAATACTTCCAATTAAAACCAACCATACCAGCAATTTCAGAGTTATAAAACACAGGCAGGTGGAAGGTATGCCATACAGATTTGATAAAATATAGATGTTTGGTGCCCATAGGATAAAAAATGCGTTGGGGAAACAGAGGTGGGTTCCCTGAGAAATTAAAAGTTTGGGCTTTGGAAGTTACCCAGGCTGGGTTTTTACAGTATTTAATTTTAATAGTGGAACAAAAAAAAAATGGGGTCTTGCTAATATTCCCAAGGAAACTAGTGAATTACGTAAAACGAGGTGATGTGCTTCTGAGTACCACTATCCTTTCTCATCCAGGACCACTGTTTTGGTCCCAGACCCCAGCCGCAGCTGTGTAAAGGGTATTGAAGCACCAGGCTTAGCAAAACAAAGAGCTCTCAGAACTAGGATGGCTCTGGGTGAAGGCAAAGGTGATGGGGTGCCCTTCAGTCTCCCTGTTATGTGGAGGAAGCAAAACAATCCAGTTTGGTGCTGTTTCCTGCACCCCGCCCCAAGTTTTCTGAATTAGCCCTTAAAATTTCAGTCTGTGGTCACATATATAGCATATTCATAAATAAACTGCAAATACCAAAGAGTGGTCTGTTTTACAACTCAAAAAAGACTTCTTTGCCCAACATAAGCATAAGGTTACTCATTACTTTTCTAACAAGCTAAACATTCATTTGTTTCAAAGTCTTCAGCTTCCTTTTACACTTATCTTAAGCAGAATCTGCTTTGCTAGTACATCAGCTTTTCAGTCCTTTGCCCAACAAGTCCAGGAAGAATGTGGTCCAGGGGTTAATTCTTCAGTCTGGAACAGTGCTTCTCAAACCTAAATGCGCAATAGACCCACTGTGGGGTGTGGGGAGAAGAGACTTCTTAAAAATGCAGATTCCCAGGGGTTTCCCTGGTGGCTTGGTTGGTAAAGAATCTGCCTGCCTTGCAGGAGACCCAGGTTCAATCCCTGGGCTTAGGAAGATACCCTAGAGAAGAGAATGGCAACCCACTCCAGTACTCTTGCCTGGAGAGTTCCATGGACAGAGGAATCGGGCAGGCTACAGTCCCTGGGATTGCAGACAGTCAGACACGACTGTGCGACTAACTATTCCCTGGTGACTTAGTGGTAGAGAGTCCGCCTGCCAGTGCAGGGGATACGGGTTCGATTCCTGGCCCAGAAAGATGCCACATGCCATGGAGCAGCTAAGCTCATGTGTCACAACTGTCGAGCCTGTGCTCTAGAGCCCAGGAGCCAAGATGGTTGCAGCCCAAGTGTGCTAGAGCGCATGCTCTGCAAGAAGAGATGCCACCACCACCAGAAGCCCAGACGCCGCAGCTGGAGGGTGGCCCTCACTTGCTGCAACTCGAGAAAAGCCCGCACAGCAACGAAGACCCAGCACCCGCCAAAAATAAATACATAAATAAAATGATAACAACAGCAAAAAAGTACAGATTTCCAGTCGTGGCTGCCCTGCACACCTCAGATTGTGCTTCAGTTCCAGGTTGGGGGAAAGCTGTTTTCACCAACCTTCTGCTGGAGGAATATGGGGTAGGCTGTCTGAGGGCCGCACTGTTTGAGGCACGGCCCAGAGAGGAGGGAAGGGGACCACAACCCCCTCACCCCTTACTTCTTGTTTTGTGGCCTCGATTATTTAGAAGCCAGTAATGGGAGCAGTACCTGAATTCTGCTCCAGAATGGCGTGTCCCTGCCAAAGATCTTGGTTTAAAAGTGAAATTTACAAAAATATTTATTGCATCAGGGTAATAATGTTGGAAATATGGTGAGTTTTACCTTTTTTTTTAAATTACTTTAGTGTTTTTGTTATCTTGGTTTTAATCAGTTGTTTCAACTGTGTTAAAACCGGAGGACTTTTGAAGTCCTCAGGTTTGACTTTTGTTCTCACCCTGGTCTGACTTCTAGTGTGGGCCCAGGAGTGACGTGATTTTCACTCTCACTTTGGGGCTTGCGGTCATTACTTTTCCTAGAAGCTTCACCTTGGAGCTCTATTCTTCCCAGTACAGTGTAAGCTCCAGAACTGGATTCCACAGTAAACTGGATCCTGTGGTTTCTTCTGGGAAGAGCCCCTCATGGGGGGGGGGGGAGGGGCATGGGTGGGGAGGGCTGGTGGGGACCAGAGCTTGCACTCACCCGCCTTTGCGTTCCAGGGGAGCACCACTGCTCGGTGAGAGGCAGTGAGCACTTCTTCCGAAGGCCACAGCATCTCTGCTCCGGTCGCGTCCCAGAGCACCAGCCCATCTATCAAACACGCTGCGGCCCGGCCGGACCTCACACCAGCGCGGAGAAGCCACGGCTTCCAGGGCCACCTCCTCCCCTCTCCCCTCCCGAGCCGGGAGAAGCGGCACTTTGTCACTTGGGTGACTCGGCAGCCTCTGCTTCCTTCCAGAGAACCGAAAATCCTGGCTTCACAAAGTGACAGTATTTTTGTTTGCACTCAATACACACCCCCACGGTGTAGAAACCTCCACAGATTCAAACAGACTTTATTCTTGTACAATTTTAATCAGTTCTTACTGTAGAATCTGGAGTCAATGCTCTAATTTTTTTTTATAAATAATATATATTATGTATATGAAATGTATATCTATAGTATGTCTGGAGAGACAGGACTGCACACTAAAATGGATAAAAGTGGTTTGTAGAAAATCATAAGGTACTGGACTTTCTTAAAAAGCAGCTCGGGCGATCTCTCAGAACACAAGCAGATGAAAGAGATGGTCTTGCCTGAGAATGAGGTTGCAAATCCCTCTTTGCAGCAAAGGTTACAGAAGGCCGTTCTTTATAACCAAAGAACTTACCTGAGACTGAATGTTTTTTGCTGTCCACTCTTGTTTTATGTGTACATACGTGTTTGACTGCAAGTTCGGTGCCATATGCCCTGTGGCTCCCAGGCCACGTGCTGCCGTTCTCTGTCGCGTTTCCCAAGCACACTGAAAAATCTCACAGCTCCGTTCTTTGGTCTTCCACCCGGTCCGCCGCCTGCTGACTTGACGCGGTTCGGGAACCCTCGACAGCGACTGGGGCTCTGATCCCCGCCTTTCCTGTCCCTCGGTCCAGCCCAGCCAGGCAGGCGGGATGCAGAGAGCAGTATTGCTCTAAGAAAACACAGGGAAAAACCAAGAGTGGGGTTGGGAGGGTGGGTGTCGGTTTTCGTCTCTTTGTGGTTTCGTTTGAGGTTGGTAGGTGTTTGTTGTGGTGTGGTTCTGCCGTTGTTTTATTTCATTTCTGGAAAACGCTGAAGGGATGACATGAGCCGTGAAGTCCGCAGGTGCCCACTTCACAGTGTTCGCAGGAGATGGTTGAAGACAGATGACCCTGCTGTGTGTCTTCATTTGTAGAATTCTTTTACCGACGGAGACCCTGAAGAATTATGTGTGCGGAAGTTTTTACAAAAGTGCTTTCTGTACCTATTGTGTAGATGCTTGTATAGCTGGTCCAGATGTAGAGCAATAAATGTGTCGTGGGAGCGAGCGAGGGTGTACAGCCTGCTGTACCTTTGCCCTGGAAGTTCATAGCATCCGTAAATGAGTAAGATATTGGAGATTTTAATGCGAAGCTGCTGTTCATGATTTTTGTGTATAGTGAGCTGACTGTAGTATTTTACTATTGACTGTTTAAAAAGAGAAAGACTGTAATTTATATCCCCTTTCAACTTTATTGTATTTAATTGGTACAGATTGTGTGTGTGTGTGTGTTTTAGAATACAGACTGTCTAATTCCGATTTTAAAACATCCATTGTTTGTCTTTAATAACACTGCCACTAGTTTCAGATCAATTTTCCAAATTTGTTTGTATGCGAGTCCTTGTGACTTAAATAATAATAGTAACAGCAAACATTCATTGGGGGTTTACTATGTACTAGGCACTATTCCCACCTTTTGATATTTATCTCGCTTAATCCTCACAGCAGCGGATGCCATGGGTTCTGCTGTTATTAAGTGTTGGATAAAAGGAAAACAGAAGTGGAGTGGTTGGCGACAGGGAGCAAGCGGCAAAGCTAGGATTCAACCCAGGCTTCCATCAGCATCTCCTGGTGCTGGGTCTGGTGACGTGGCGTGGAGGGACGGGCCCCCGAAGGGAGGGGAGAGCAGGAGGGCTGTGGCAAGAGTCCCAGGTCTGGACTGAGCGACATTAGCAAGGAGCCCGTGCGGCAGACAGGCCGCGGTGGGTTACATGAGGTCCCGACACTCCAGCACTTCTTTAGAGGAAGGAGCAGGGCCTGCTACCCCGGGAGCAGTGGCACATGATCACTTCATCTGAAAGAGTTATTTAAAAATGGTTTTCCAGAATCCTTTCAGAAAAAGTTCCATTCACAAGAGCCTTTCTGATGTGATCAGGAACTAGTTCTAGCCCGTTCTGGACAGACCGTGACTTTCGTAGATTTCCAGGAGAAAGTAGATAGGGAAGAAAATTCAAATTATTTTCATTGTATAGAATGGGAGTTGGGGGATGGAAGCAGCTATTTAATGTTTAAATCATGACAACCACAAATACAGTTTAAGACAAAAGAAGCAAACTGTCACTGCCTTTACTAGTATGAGATAAGTGGTATTTGGTCATGGGTATTGTCATTTCTCATTGGCTATGGGAAGGCACACTGGTTCTAAGATGTTTTGGATAGTTAAACATAGCCCTATGTTTACTAGTTCATTTCCAAAGTACAGTATTACTGCTTTCATCGCATTTGTTTATCATTGTTTGGACACACATTTAGCATAGCAAAAATTTAGCTTTGTGTTTCTAGGGCACCAACTTGTGGGAAGAAAACCTGTTCATAAAAAAAAAAAAAATACCTTTAGGATAGCTAAGGGCTAGATATGGTCTCCTAACAATTACCCTTTCTAGCCAATACTTACTTTGAAAATTATAATATTCAGCTTTAGAACTGTGTTGGGGGGAAAGGCAACTATTACATGATTACTCTTTATTTTTTAAAAGTAAAGCTTTCTGGTCATGTACATTTGAACAGTCTTAAAAGAAGATGTAATGGAGTAAGAGTTCTTGCTTTTTTTTCTAGATCAAGAGATAAAAGTAGAAAAGGATGCTACCAGTACACAACCACATAGAGATTTTTGTATTAAACCTTGAACTTACTGCACTAGCACAAGTGTCTTTCTGTAATATTGAGCCTACTTCCTGAATTTTAAAAAAAAGACAGGAAGTCAGTCTGAAATGTATAGTAGTTTGTCTCAGGGTTTCTCCTAACCTGGAGAAGAGGCAGTCTATTCTCATGCCCAGACATCTGGGGGTGGACAGCATCCTGCTGGCAGGGGAAACTGGAATGTGGAAGATACCACGAAAATGCCAGGAGGCAAGTTCTGCCCTTTAATACAGTATGAATTGGAGCTAACAGGAGTGGAAAAATCCCCAAATCTTCCAATCAGCCTGCTCGTCCTTTGTTTCTAATCCTCTGAGCTGAGGGGAAATATAATTGTGGGCTCGAGTGCCACTTAATAGTCTCTCTCTTTTTTTTTTGTGGACACTGTGAGTTAATTTAAGTTGAAATAAAAACTTAGTCTTCATCTTCCTGATGTTCTCAGACATACACTTACCTCTCTGTATTTTTTGGAAAGACAAGTTATTCTCCCTTTTGTGAGGGGTGCCTGAATCATTGTGTCAGTTCTAAGACTGGAGCTCAAGAAGATGCTTGGGATGGCTCAGCCTGTGGAATCTGAGCCCAGCCGGCCACGGCCACCATCTTGGAGCTTATTACTGTGGGTATCTCATCGCCAGGTGGCCTTTCCGAGAAAGGAACTCTCAAATCGTTGTGAGACCCTATGTATGAAGACGACATTGAGATGCTGATTAATAGAACAATAAATACATACAACAAAAGGTAAGTTAGAACTGGAGTCTGGGGAAGAAGATCAACTTGAAGGGGGCTAAAAGTCCAGTTTGGTTTAGAATTAGAATAGCACAAATCAACTTGACCCTTTCATGATACCTAAAACACTTGTAACTGTTTATATTTTAAACCCAGAGAACATTGGTGTTTATAACAACTTTGTGTACCTGAAGCAAATCATATAGGGATGTTCTTAGGTTTGTTATTGTTTGTCTTTTCTTAATCTAGCATGTGTTTGGGGAACTGTCACAGCAGAGTAGATGTAATTTTCTTTGACTGAATGTCCTTGGAGAATGAATCTGAGCCAAAAGCCCCACCTTTGTGTGATAGATTAGTTACACTTGTTGAATCAGCATAATCTTTACCAAGTGTATGGTTAACCGCAAGTAATCCAAGCTCCTTAGAAACACCGGAGTTAAAGTACTTAGCCACAGCAACAGCCAAGAAGAGAGCAGTTCACCGAGAATGATTTAAGATCTAACCTCAGTACCACTTGTGTCCAAGGCCATCTTAGTAACAGTATGAGAATCCCAAGTTATCAACACTTTTTTTCCAGTTCTTCTACATGTAGTGGTGTATATTTGTGAGAAAGCCAGTGCATTAATGTTTAGTGCAAAATGAATTACCCTTGAACTCAGCAGCTTAAAACAATACAAATTTATTATCTGACGATTTCTGCAGGTCTGGAATTCAGGCGTGGGCACTTGTAGGTGGTTCTGCCTCTACCTGCTCCTGAGGTTGCCATCAACAAGTCAGCCAGAGCCGCAGTTATCTGAAGGCTTGACTGGAGCTGGGAGGACCCACTTTTCCGGTGACTCAGTCACGCAGCCTGTGAGCTGGTCTTCCTCCCCACACGGGCGTTTCTTTGATCTTCGAGTGTCCTTCCCCGTGGTGGCTGACTTCCCCCACAGTGAGCAGCTCTGGAGAGCAAACACAAGCCACGGAGCCTCAGATGTCACATTTTGTCAATCGTACCGTGTTCAGTTCATTTGAAATGAGTCAGGAATCCAGGGTAAAGAACTGGGCTGTTTCATGTCTTTTCATCTTTTTTTTTGGCTGCACCGTGTGGCTTATGGGATCTTAGTTCCCCAACCAGAGATAGAACCCGTGTCCCACTGCGGTGAAAGCATGGAGTCCTAACCAACTGGACTACCAGGGAATTCCCAGACTCTGCCTTTTGAAAAGAAGCGTCTAAGAATTTGTAGGCATATTTTATTTTATTTTTTTTTTGTAAGCATATTTTAAAACGACCGTAATTTGTTCAGAGTTATAGGCTGAGGCCATGGGGCCAAAGTGAAGCTAACTGGAATCTATAAATGAAA